ATGTAATGTACTGTAACGTAACGTAATGTAATGTAATGTAATGCAATGTAATGTAATGTAATGTAATGTAACGTAATGTAATGTAACGTAACGTAAAACGTAACGTAATGTAATGTAATGTAATGTATGTGTGTATATGTAATATGTATGTACACAGATTCAATACATGTACATATGTAGATACTCAGCAACACAGTCCCAATCTTAGAGTTGGCCAAAGATTTTCCTGAGGGCTTCCCAAGCTTCAACGCCAAAGGACTGCCCCCCCCCCCCCCCCGATGTTTTGGCCGGAGATTTGGTTGCCCGAGCTGGGTCCATCCGGCCAAAGATTCTTCAGGGGGGTGTGTGGGGCCTGAAGAAACCTGCAAGTTCCTTGACAAGCCCAACTGCTATCTCGGGACCCCAATTCAAGGGGACTCTCTCAATTGCCCACAAAACCAGACAACTCTCTTACCACTTTCTGGTGGTTTCGGGAAACCAACAGGAAGCTCACCATTTTTAATTTTTCCCATCCTGAACCAACCCAATTCCCCCACCCCATCCTAGGATGGGCAATTTTTCATTTTTCGGGCTTTTCTTGACCCATCCCCATCCCCCGGTTCCCGCCTGAGGAATTTCAGCAATGGCGAGGGTTATTTCTACTTCCCCGAGCTGCCGCTTCGGCCAGAACCGGCGAGCTCCACCCTTCGGCTCTGCCGGGGTTAGCCTTTGAACGAGGGGCCCACTCGTGTGTCGTGCAAATGACGTTTTGAGGGTTTGGCCCCTCACGCTGAAGTGGTTTTCCCGGAGGACCTCAGCTGTCAAGGATTTAGCGTGGCGAAGCCACCAGCAACTTTTGTTCGCTGGGCTCTGGACCTGTTCTAACCCTTGACCCCAGATCACAGGGGTCAACATCACTGGGAGTTTTCCTTGGGGCACACGTATCTATTCATGGGTCCCAGGATTCACCTCTTTCCCCCACAGAGAAATTCTGGCAGAGCTGGAGAGTCGACTTTTCATCTTTCTGAGCCTCAGGTCAGGTATCCCTTGGTTGGAGGTTTGGATTGGTGGTTTGGATTTGGAAACCCTGGGTTCTTGCAGAGGCCAAATGGGAAACCAGCCTAACCTCTAAACCACCAATCCAAACCACCAATGAGAGTGAAGCTGACCCTGTTTTCATGATTTTTTGGCGGATAGCATTTGAACAACCCCTAGTAAGGGCTGTCGCAAGTTTAGTGTTGGTTTAGTATTGGGCCAATGAACAAAGAATGGGCGGGGGGGGGGGGGCTAGGTGACTTTTAGATTTGCAAACATATTTGCAGAGGTGATTTATCAGATATGGGAAGTGATCAAAGGTCGAAGTGCATAAGGATGAGCAGGATGAGGGGTGAAGAGACAGCGCCATGCTGCCTGGATGTTAGGACCATAGGTGTCCTTTTTAGGTGAGCTTGATTAAAAATAGATGGGTTCCACTGGTTTAGGTGGGGTTTCGTAACCCATTTACCAGGGAAACCCATCTATTTTTCCAGAAGGCCGCCTATGGTTGGGACTTGAAATTTTTGCCAACTAGTGACAGTTTTCCCGCATGAAACCGCCTTTTTTTTGAATAAATAAATAAATAAATAAATAAATAAATGAATAAATAATATATATATATATATATATAGTTCGCAGGGGAGCAGATCTCGCCACCGAGGTTTCGGGACCCCGTCGTGGGGCTTCGTGGGGCGTTGTTATCACTGGGCTCGAGGTTCTCCGCGAGCGGCACCTCAGGGCTGTTCCGCTGCTCCCACGGGGCGGGGCTGGCGTGCAAGGAGCAGAGCTGCTTCCAGGAGCCTCCAGACATGTGGCTGTGGTGGTCAAACCGTTTTGAATTGGATCCCATTTGGATCCCATTTTGGTTGGTAGGTGCCATTTTTCCACCCATTTTTTACTCGGGATGTTAGTGACAGCAATGGGATCGCATCTTGGGGTAGGTGAATTCACCACCCACTTTGGTCGGGATTTTAGTGACACCAATGGGATAATTCACCACCCATTTTTCACTCAGCTTTTAGTGGGGATTGGGATGTTCACTGGGGGTACGATTTGGGTTTTGACCCATGGTAGCGGATCTTTGGTTACTTTGACGTTTTGGCTGCAAATTGTAGCGGATGTTTCACGAATTGGGCCTACTAAAAGTTGTCCGCACTTGCAGAGGTTGCACCCCACGGGGTGGAAGCGGCTGATCTGCGAGTCCGCCGGGTGGAAGCCACGGAAGCCACGGAAGCCGGGGGTAAAAAAGTGGGCCCCGGTGGTGGTCGGGGCCTCGTGGATCCACTCAGTGGGTGCCCAGCCATCCGGTTCCTGGCGTTTTTAGGTTAGTTGGGGGTGGTGGGGGTGCCCATTGAACCCACATGGGCACCTGACAGGAGGGTACCTTGCTTCCGCTAACTCGGCACCTGTGAGTTGCAATTGGAAGTTTCTTGGAGCGGAACATCCCAACATGGGAGCGAGGGTACTCTGTTTCTCTTTTTTCTCCTTTTTCCCCAACAGCTGAAAGCTTTGGGGTCTCAGCCCAGATATGCTCCGGGGTGGTCCGGGGCGGCCCTGAGGTAAGGTTCCACGAGGGTTCCACCAGGGTTCCACGAGGGTTCCACGAGGTTTTGTGAGGGCTGCGGGGTGGTGCAAGCACAAAAAGACCACCGCATGCTGTTGGGGATATCACCTGAGCTGATTTTTCCTGGGGAGGGGGGGGGTATTTCCCTTTGAACCACCATTTGGAGGGTAAGCTTCAGGATGTCATTTTGACTAGCCCAGCCCAGTAAGCATAGCTTGTACTATAAGTTAAATGATTAAACATATTGTGGATGGACGAAACCCCGCAACACCTAAGAAACCATGGGAAACAATTGTTTGTGTTGGTATTTACATATTTACAGGGGGAATCCTCATTCCAGGGTTTCTTCGGTGGTGCAGGATTTCGTCCATCCACAGTATGATTCTTCCAAGATTCATGACGTGGATTGGTTTTCAAGTACAACCCATTCCAATTATTTAGGCCCCTTGTAGCCAAGGCCCCCAAAATCATGGACCTGATGCTCAATCAGAAACATGGCTCTAGCTGGGGCAAGTTACTTGTTTGACACGAGTTGAACATCTAGGGCCCAATTTGAATTCGATTGAGGTAGCGGGGGTACGATCACTGCCTCACTATAGGAGCAACATGAGGTCAATGAATTGTCCCTCATAGTATGCTCTGATTGTTTTGAAAAGAAACCTGGTCAACCAAGGTTGATCTCCATGGCCCAAATTTCTGAGCCCACCCCAATCTCATTTGAGGGCGGGTTGCGGGGTACTATCAACCCGTCATGGTCATAGAACAATCTGTGCACGTATTTCGCCCCTCCCATGATTTCCCGGTACTATCAACCCGGCATGGTCAATGCAATTATATCGCCCCGTCATTTCTTCCTGCTTGTGGAGGAATGGTCATAAAAAGTATCACCTGAAATCCAAACTGCTTGCCCACAAAAGGATGTTTAGATGAGACAATTTCGGGCATAAAATACCCCCCCCCCCCAAAAAAAAAAACACGAAAAAGGTAACACGGCTTATTGGGGCCCGGCGCCGCTGTTTCGTTTGGCCGTGACCTAAAAACCAACTACCTGCGCAAGTCTGACTCTCCCAGGAGCCCGGCACAGGGGAGGTGGCCATGCACGGGCCCATGCACCTCGGCCGAGGGAACCTCTGGATCTCCGAGGGAGCTGAAGCACCATAGGCGTCCTTTGGATCTGTGAGTTTGGTGAAAAATAGATGGGTTTTGTAACCCATTTTCCAGTGTGAAGGAACCTGAGCGGGCTGAATGGGTGGTTTGGACTCTCGGGGGTGCCGTTCAAAAGGAGGGGCTCAAACCAAACCAAGCAGAAAAACGAAGACTAACACGGTTCAACCCTTCAAGCCAATTCGAAGCCAAAGAGCGAAACTGAAATGCAGGTCCCTTTCTCCTGAATCTTGGGGTGTGAATTGCTTCGCGCAGAGAGACTTTACTTGCCCTTAGGGACTCAACTCTGACCCTTTGTCAGACACAAGGCGAGGGGACGAAGCATGGGTAGCATATGTGTAAAGATGTGTGAACAATTGGATTTCAAACAATTGTGAAAGAATTGCGCAATCCAAGATGTGAAAGAATTGTGCCACCAGCGTTTTATTTTGGATTTCAAAAGAGGAACAGGGTCTAGTGCCATTCTGCCTGCCCCAACCTGAGGTCTTTGAGTCCTAAAAAAAGGGCAACCCACCCCCCAAGAGCCAACCCGATTTTCCCGTCTTCGGAGCTAGTTTCCCCAAAGCCGAAAAAGGGTACCTCAAAAAAAGGGACGAGGCGCCCTATTGAAAGGGAAGCCGGAAGGGCAACCACCCCCAGGTGCGGCGCGTGCATGCCCGGTTGGGCACTCAGTCTTGCGAACTGGGCCTATGACAAACCCGTGTCTCGTTGGTTTCGGGGTCTTCTGGTGGAAACCGCAAGGCAACCGGCTTTGTTGTTCTTCTTTCTTTTTGTTGGGGGGCTGGCAAGTCTATTTCGTGGCGCTTGCTGTGGTGAACTTGCATGTCGAAGTGAGGCAAAGTTCAAATGCATCTCTGGCGGGCAGATTTATCCCCTGACGAGAAAGTGAAACCTTGACACCCGCAAACTCAGCGGCTTCCCTGCTTGGCTTATCCAGGGATAGCTCCTTGTGGCTCAACTTCGTGCCATTTTCGCGGTGATTTTGTTGCAGACCTGCTTGTGGCCACTGGGAAACCGACGGTGGTGAAGTCATCGCACTCGCCCTTTGAAGGTTTTAGAGAGACTTGAACGGACCTCCCCCTACAAATAATGCCTTTTGTTCGATTGTACCAGGTAGGTCCACCGGTGTCAGTTTGGTTCGCTTCTCACTTGCCAGTGCAATCCATCAATTTGTCCAAAAGGACCCGAAGCTTGGCAGTGTTTTCTGGAGCGAGCCAGCGAAGCAGTTTGCTTGATGCCTGTTGCTTTGATCTGGTTGATGTTGTACCATGGCAAGCGAAGGTTCCCGTGAACGACGAGCATACGTTTTACACGTGTCACGTGTTTCATTTGCTTCAGGGTTCCCTTGAGCCAGAGACTCGCGTATCTTAGTCGATCGGATTGACTGACCGACCGAGCGACCAGATCGGTGGACTCGATTGGGTATGTACCAAAATGATGGTCTCCCTTTTCGGCGTTGATCACTCCTTGCCCCTAAATCAAACAAAGAACCTGAGCAAACCCTCAAAACGAATCCACAGAACCCCAAGACACCAACGTGAATTGGAGAACCTTCCCAGGCATCCTTCCTTAGCCTTTGCGCTTTTGCAGGTTGTGGAAGCTTCCATTTCACCTAAGATCTTAGATACTTGGGACAAACTGCTTTGAAACACCCTGCTTTCGCACAAAACCAAAGGTCAGGGGAGTTGAAAAGGCTAGCTTTGTCCATTCCGTGTTTCGCTTGCGTTGGCGCCGTGTCCATGACGGTTCGCGTAGTCGATGTGTTGCTGGAACGCTCTAAGGCGTCTGCGCCCTGGCTGCTGGAACTGTTTGTATTATTCACCTTGGTTGATGTGTGACACCAAATGCTGGTATGCGCCTTGCTGACGCCATAATCTGCACAAGCAGCGGCGTGTGAGCAACAACATGACGGGCGTTAGCTACGAGATCCTATTTGAGGGCAGCGCGATGTAGGAAGTGCTCGAATGTGCCCGCGCAAGCGACCCACATGTGGAGCGGGGAACGGGGGTGCATTTTCAAGGTGGAAGCATTGGGGTCAGTGTCGTTTTCCTTTTAATGTATTTAAAGTGCGCTAGTGTTGCAAAAATGGCCCGGACGAGGCGGGGCCAAAAATCGGGAGTTTTCTTGGAATTTGTTAGCATTGCTTAGCATTTGTTAGCATGTGTTAGCTTTTGTTAGCTTTTGCTAGAGTTTGTTAGCTTTTCGTAGCTTTTGGCGCCATGTGTTGGCTTTTTGTAAATTTTAGCAGGTTGTGGGGGGGCTGCAAACACTTTTGTCACGCTGGGCTGCCTTAATGCGTGAAATGTGACACGAAGGCCATCGCGCGCCATGAACGGTAACATGTTTGCAGAAATGGCCAAGCGAGCAGTGAAGGGGCCATCGAAGACTGGGGATTGTTCTGCGGTGTCCCCTTAGGTGCTTTGTAAGAGGCCCGGCTCAGTCGTGATCTTGCCGTTCGTGCGTTCAACGCGCACGCAACTGAACGTATCTTGTGGACGAAGGCAAGCGACCTAGCCGCCCAAGTGAACGTTCTAAGGGTGGACTGCCTCATAATGAGGAGTTTCTTTTTGGTTGCAGTTCATGCTCTTGAAAGCCTTGTTGGATTGTTTTGCTACGTTAGCCTTTTTTTAGCTTTTGTTAGTTTTTGTCAGCTTTCTTTAGCTTTCTGTAGATTTTTGTAGCTCCCAGAAGGTTTCTTATTGGAGTTTGTTAGCTCCAGCATGTTGGCCCGCATGCTTGAAGCAGGCTGTTTCAAAGCGGTATGTTGCATGTTTCAATGGTAAGACTTCCACCACTTTTCGGGGCATCCAGGGAAAACGGACGCCAGCGAAGGATTTTTTCGAGAAGGCCGAAAGCGAAAGCCGAAAGCCCCAGGCTTTGCGAAGCCCATCGGCCAGCCCTTGAAGCTCTGCGAGCGCTGCCCCTCCATGCTCTGGTGCATCCTCGGGGTCTGCGTCCAGCTCCTCGAGTGAGCGAGCGAGCGAGCGAGAATGGACCGGCCAGGATGCGGACCCCAAAGGATAGCTTTCATTTTGGGGTGTATCCTGAAATTTTGGGACGGGTCCCAAAAGTGGTTTCTTGGTTTCCCTGTTGGTTTCCCTTAAAGCCAGCAAAAAGGGGTCCCCGATATTGAGAACCCCTCGTTTGGGTGTGTCTTTTGTTGAGGGTACCCGTTTTGTTGTGGGAAACTCGAGTTCGAGATCACCGAATCGGGGTTTGGCTGTCTGTTGTTACGTTTGGCCTGGGTTTGGGTTTTGTCTCTGGAGCTTGATTCGCCTTTTGGACGGGTCTTGCTTACTTTCCGTGGCCACCCCTATAACTTGTCTTCATTCGGCAAAGTGAAGAAGTCACCGGGATACGCACCTGTGGCTTATCAGAAGACAACTGGACTCCCGAACCACATCAAGTCCTTGCGATCAACCGTTTCTTCAAGAAAGGATCGACCTCTTTTCTTTTTTTCTCCTGCCGCTTTGCAGGGCTCCAAAAAAGCTGACACTTGGCTGAGTTTCGCCGAGTGTGTTGCTGACTGGCTGGGATTCCACTTTTTTGGTCAAGAGCGCATTCTCTCCCATCACCAACAGACAAACCTGAGGGCGTTTTGTTCCGTAGGTCGAGAGTTGGAGGGCAACTTTCGGCGGTCCCGACTGACGGATGCGGCTTTTCACTCAAATGTAGCATCATACCCCTGATTCAGATAACTTGTTTTGACAAGGATGCATTTTTGCACTGGACAACCTGGTTTTTTCAACTCTACACACCCAAACGAATCCTAAAAAGGTGGGTGTGAGGATGCTATGGCAAAGTGGTGAAACGGTGTCCGTCCAACACTGCCAGTCTCGCAGAAACAGGACCAGAGATATCCGCAGGATTCGAATTCGGCTGGCTTTGGGACAGAGACTCGTGAATGGTCGAGTGCCTGAGGCTTTTGGTGATCTTGGGCATGTCCTCCTTCCTCATGGTTGTGCCTCGGAGGCTTTGACCTTGCGCTCTTTGATTGATATTTTTGGGGATCTGATGGGGCCCCATGCGTGTGGCTTCTTGTGTTGAAGTTGAGTACTTGGATGTTTAACCTGCGTAGGAAGTTGCAACCAGGGTTGCAGCTTGGGCAACTGGGCTTTGTCCCCATTCGTGGGCCGTTCTCGCATGTGGGGTCCCATGGTCCGACCACTTGGACGGGTGAATCAGGGGGAAGTGTAGGGGACTTTTGTGTTCGCTGAGCCGAGTCAACTAGTGATTAGTGACTTGGATGAACTAGGGGTGAGCTCCTCTTGGGGACTTTGTGGGTTTTTGCCTGGAGTCAAAGTGTGGGATGCGAGTGACTAGCGAAAATCGGGAATCACGCTACAGCTAGGTCCATCGACTTTCGGGCTTCAGGCAAGGTTGACTCGGGTGCGGACGAACAAGGGGGTCCCCCCAACATGGACGGATTCAAATGGGACACGCTCCCTATTCATCAGCCAGGGGTTGATCAATCCTGGGTCAGCTGACATTCAGCAGTGTCTCTTTACCGTTCTCTTCTCATCTTCAGTTTTGCTTCGGTTCTGTCGGCATTTCTTGCCAAGAACATCCCACGTGCAAACGGCTGGGGTTTGAGGCAAACGTCATGCGCCTCCCGCTGGGCGCCCTTCTCGCGGATCTCCGAAACGTGTTAGTGTTTGAAGGCGAAAGTAGAACATATTTCTGGTTGGGGAGCCTCATGGAATTAAACACTGGTATGAACATGGAATTAAACACTGGTATGAACTTGGTATGCTTTTTTCCTTTTGAGGGGCCTTAAAGGGAAACCAAGAGAAAAACAACTTTACTTGTTTTCTGGGGGGGTCCCTACAAAAGACACACCCATATGAGTACAACTGGTTTGAATCTGACAAGGACATGTAGCTTGGTGGGCTCAAAAGAGCGGTGTTCCCTTGGGCCTTGTGCCCAAAATGCGTCCGTGTGGCATTGTCTAGTCGCATCAGGCACACTCCGATACGCTGTCTTTGCAGAGAAAAGATTTGCACGATTGCATTTCATGCAGCCAGAACTATTGCTTTGTCTACTTTGCGCTGTTCAGGCAGTGGCTGAGAGCAAACCAACAAGTACCTCCTGCTTGTGTATTCATGGGGGCCTGTGGTATATTCCTGCGCTGTCTTCCCGACGTGGCCCTGTTAAGTATTCAAGGTGAATGCCTTGTCTGACTACAGCAAGCCAAAGAACATCTTCTCCATCATCCTGAAGCAGTTTCTCAACTACCTGCAGCGGCTCGTCGGATTGCTCCAAATTTTGGGCTTCGAAATTGGATGGGGGCCTGGTCCAACCAACTTTCTGCTCATGTGTCGGATGGAATGGGAGCACCCGCCTCCAAGACCTGTCCAGTTTGGCCCTAGTCACCCTTGTGTTGGCCTTGCTTGACCCTCGCTCCGGCCTTGTGCAACCCACTTGTGCGGCTAGGGATCATTTGAGCCTTCAAAATTGGCGCATCATGTCAAGGAAGTGTCGACCCTTGCGAAGGGACCCTTGCGAAATGTATCATTGCCATGCATGAACTGCATGGTATCTATGAAAAGAGTGGGTTGACTAGCATGCGGCCACTGACAGTCACCCAAGACAGAGATGTTTTCGGGCAGGCAAGGAGGAGAACGCGACTTCTTCTTGTGGGTTTTAAAAAACGGGCCCGAAACGGAGGCCGCCCACCACGTAGCTGACCCGCTTTCCGACACGCAAAATTGGGGGGGCGTTTCTCTGCAAACACCCCTGGCTCCGAACGAGGCTTGTTCAAACACGGGGATGCCACTACATTTTCGGGACCCTAACAAGGAGCAAAGCACCAACCAATGGTATGAGGGGTCCAGAATTTGGACGGTTCCTTTCCTGCCGCACCCTCAAATGCCGTTTCCATGCTGGCCGTTTTGACGTTTTTCATCGCTGGGCTTGCAAAGCAAGATATCTAGTACCCCAGGCGTGGGTTGGGAACCACATGCGAAAGCCAGCCACAGCTGTCCTTCTTTTTTTCTTCAAGAAAGCAAACAAATAGCAAACAAACACATTTGTTTTGGGATTTTCCAGTTGATCCCCCAAACAGCAAAGACTCCTTGAGGGTTAATACACTCCCATAGAAGCTGGGTTACTTTGGTTGAGGCTCCCTGCGAACTGTTGGGGGAATAACGGTTCCCCACTTGCCGCAAAGCTGGCGGGCGAATGGCAAAGTCATGATGAAGTCAAAGTCATGAATTCATTGATTTGCGGTTGCGGGGTGTGCCATCCATAGATCAGCGACCAGGGCGGGGTTGATGGCTCAAGCGAGTAGCTTGCACCTTTTGGGTGGTTTCTTCTTTTCGCCTCCAGGCGCCAAAACGGAGGCCCAGCGCGGCCCGATTCTTTTCGCGCAGAAGAATTCACTCGGGACCCAGGACCCATTTTTTTGATACGGCGGGTTCCCGTGACCTAAGAAACACCCCGACAGGGAAGTTGGGTGTGTCTTAAAAGAGGCAGAATGGGCGCAGCGGTGCTCCTCGTGGTTTCCCCCAGCTAGGTGAGTTCAGACCGGGTCGGGACTTGCGAGGTGGACCAGTCATCTTAGTTGGTGGTTTGAATTGGCTTGGATTGTCTCTTTCTGAGGCTTTCACATCCAAATCTCAATGGATGCTTGCAACATCCGCTGCACAAGTTGGCAGGTGGTTTTGCCCCCAGTTTGCTGAAGCTGTTGGTGCCTGGTGGATTTTGTCCATGTGGATGGACGAAATCCCTCACCAAAGAAACCCTGGAATGATGATTGCCCCGTAACGTCTTCCCATGGTTTCGTGGGCTTTTGCGGAATGGATTCCGTCCGCGGTGATATGAACTTTGGTTCCCGGGCGCCTCGAATCGGTTTTTCCTTGAGCTTGAGGATGGCTGGGGCCGTGCTGTCCACAGGCGCGGGGGATTTCGCAGCAAGTTTCAAGAAATAGCTTGGTGGAGCCTGGGTGGAGTTGATTTGCCAGGGTGCCTTTGCTACAAAGGGTGGGGTCTTTGTAGGTTGTTCAAACTTCGGTTCTTCTCAGAAGCCAGAGATTTCCCCGCGGAAGAATGCGTGTGGAAGTTACCCCTACATTCCTGCAGTTGGTTGCATGTCTGGATCTGTTGATTTGCAAAACCTGTTCATGGTGAGTATAGCCACGAATCGGATTTTCAGTGGCGCTGCACGTTCCTTGTAATTTCCCGTTGGCGCTTTCAGCATCGCCAGTGGGGCCGTGGCTTTCTGAAGGTGATGCTTTAAAGTGGACATATCAGGGACCCGGTGCCCTCTGAAGGTAGGTTGGATCAAGCGGCATGTTGGCAGAAAGCTGCTGCATTGTGAGAGCTGCGTTCGGTCGTGTCCATACGGAATGCACATGTATTGACCGTGGCTCTACTGAGTTCATGCTTTACAGTTCGCTCGTGTTTTCCTGGATGCTGTCTAAGAAATAAGCTTCAGGCTGTTTTCCTGGATGTTTGGCGCACGCACCCACCAGAAAGCCATGGCAGAGCAGAACCAGTGCTTTGCCATGGGCCACCACCTGAGTTTTGACACACAGGTGTATGTGAGAGACCGTTTTTTGAGTTGTACTCTTTTTGTGGTGGTTTTGAAGGAACACCAAGATGAAAAGCACATTTTTGCCGGTAAGTGACTGTTTCGCAACAAATGTTCGCCAAGATTGCTAAAATAGGGCGGCGGGGTGCTTGGGACCCCGACTTAGATGTTCAACCCAGAGGTAAGTAGGCAAAAGGCCATCGGTTGTAAGGAGATTACCCCGGCTCAATTATCTCGGGGTAACATTTGACAACCAGCAGACTCGCCCCACTTGTGCCAGTTAAATGATGGACGAATTTCTGCACCACCTAAGAAACCGCGGTTGAAACCATGGTTATTTACACGAGAAGCATCATTCTGTTGGGTTTCTGAACGGCGGTGCGAAATGGATTTCGCAGACATCCGCAGTATCAGGCTACCCTTAGTTGGGTTTTTGGATGGGTGGTTTGGGGATTTGAAGCCCAGTACCTTTTGACATGGGAAAGGCACGCCCAAAAAACTACACGACCAATCTTCCATTTGCTTAAGAATACTTCCAGTTTTCCTTGGTCTTAAAGGGGATGTGCCACTACCGGACATATTTTTTCTTTCTCCAGGGCGGCTTCAGCAAATTTAAGTTTGTGGCAAGGCGACGATACTGTGAATGGACGAAATCCATTTCGCACCACCTAAGGAACCCTGGAATGATTCGAATCCCATGCAAATACCAACGAACCATGGTTTCAACCATGGTTTCGTGCGAAATGGATTCCGTCCATCCACAGTATGACAAGACACCTCCAAGAACCCGTCCGCGGCGGCTTCTTTGCAGGTGGGGCGCATGGCCTGTATGGGGGCCTCAGCATAGTCAGCGGCTTCGAGGTCGTGCAGGAGTCTACTGGTTGGGTGGCGTTGAATTTGGGTTGCTTCCATTTTTTTCTCCCCCTTATTGGTTTGAAGGGAATCTATCACTACTGGATTTCTATTTTTATGATTTCCCGGAACCTTCAGCAAAGGGAAGTTTGGCTTTGGGTTGGTTCTTAAAAAAGAACCATTCAAGAATGCCCGGAGAGAAGGAGATAAAGACACGCCCAATGCTCACAAGGAGAATGCTCTTTTTACCCCTTCCCCCCCACCCCTTGCCCCCCACCCCCATCCACCCACCCAACCCCCCCCCCATCTCCCGCCATCCCCACATAATGTAGCTCTACATACCCCTTCCCACCCCCACCTTGCCCCCCCACCCCCCCACCTTCCCAACCCCCCAACCCCCACCCCCAACCCCACCCCCCACCCCCCCGCCCGCCCCTAGCCACCCCAGCGCCCCAGCTTCGGCTACCGGGGCAGGACTACCTGGGCTTCGGCTCCGCCGGCTGGATGCCCGTGGCGGGCAGCTGCCTCATCGAGCAGCTGCTCCCGGGCTTCGGGGTCCACACGGCGTGCGCCGAGCCGAGCCGCGGTTGCCGGGGGCGAGGGCTTTGACGTTGGCGTGGGGGGTGGAATTTTGGGGGGTTTGGGGGGTTGGGGTTTGGGGTTTGGGTTGAGGTTGGGGGATTGGTTGGGGGTTGGGGTTGGTTTGGGTTTGGGGTTGGTTGAGGTTGGGTGTTGGGTTGGGTGGGTTCTCAAAAGTATTTGGACCGTTTTTTCCTTGGTATTTGAAAGGGAAAGCAAAAAGAAGCCAACTGGATTCCCTAAATTTGAGGAACACCCTTTTTCGGATTCGGCTTGGGTTCGGATTCGGAAAGACTGTCAAGACTTAACGTTCGTTATGGAAAGTACCCAACTGTCAGGGTTTAAGGTTTCGGGAAAGCAACGCTGGTTTCGGCCAAGGCTTAATGTCAGCTTAAATGTCAGAACTGCTGACTCCGTTGGAATTTGGAGGTAGCCCCTAATTACCCCCACTTTCCTTCCCGGTAAAAGGACCCGTAACTTGTCCACAAACAGGGTTTCTCTGAGACACCTACAGAGACAAGGCAAGAAGAGCTCAAATAATTCTGGGCTTGAGCAGGATTTCAACCCCAAAGTCGTGATGACAAGTGAAACATGTGTAGCTTCTTTCACCCCTTACAACAGTCCAAATGATCCTTTCACCGAACATTTCCAGACTTAGCTCGCCTTTTGGCCCTTTTGGCCAAGTTGGGTTTCCTCCAAATCCCTTTCAGCAACCAGACGGTCCACTTTTCGCCTGGTCCAAGTCCCGAAAGGTCCACTCGAGGTTCGGTCGGTCGAGTCGGGAGGGACAGCCTCTGCCGCGTGAAGTCCCTTGGAAAAAATCCAGTTGGACCCGAGACAAGGTGGCCTGAGAATGGGAGGAGACCTTAGTCCAAAGAAGGGAATGCTTCGGTCTCCCCTGTAAACAACGCCCCTAAAAGGTACTACGAAGAAAACGCCGCCGCACCCATGTGAATGATGAATTATCAGGGCTGTTGACCCCAAGAAGGGGCCTGTATCTGAAGCTGTGGACAATGCCTTCATGGTCCTTCGACTATCTTTTGGCAGGGGCAAACATGTTTGTACAATGGCGCTTTCTTTTGGGCCCCCCTCAAATCATGATGGAATTGACGTGAACTCCAGATTCGTTTACAGGCAGTGCTATGCCGCGAAGAAACCACAAATCAGAGAGAACAGGTGTTTGGTTAGAGATGGACCACACATTAAAGACATGAAATGGACATTTTGAGTGGTGCCTCCTACACGGCGTCTCACAACAGTTTGTAATATTATGTTCTGGCGACTTACACGACTGTCTTTTTCCGGGGGCTGCAAATGAAAGATGGGTTTGTCTAAACATACGCCACGGAGGAAAGACATGTTTTGTTGTCGCGGAAAAGATCATTGGGTCCATCCAAATGTCCCATGTCATTTGGCGGAACAATGCAAGGGCAGCCAGAATTAGAATGGGATGCGTGTTCTCTCGGAAGATCATAGTTTTTTCCCGTGACTTTTCAATTGGGGTTTTCAGGGATCGATCAAATAGCAGCACTCCTGAAATTGTGCACACGCCGTCCTCCCCCCGTCCTGCTGTTCATTTCCAGGGGCTAACTTTGGACTCACTCCATATTGTGACCCACTCAATTCCTCATCTCCAAATCAGTGTTTTTCTTCTTTTTCCGGGGACTCCCCCAAAAACCGGTTTCCTTTTGGTGTCCCTTGAAAACCCACCAAAAAGGGTACCCTCAAGAACGACGCACCCATATAAATGTCTGTATTCATGGGTTTCAGCCAATGGACACACCCAAATGGCCGTGGCTCAAACAAATGTACCCAACTGGCCTTGGTAAATGGAACCAATGACTAAAACCAGCGGTTTGCCCTAGCTCTTGAATTTTGAGCCACACCCACTTGTAACCATGAGGAATGAACATCCAGATTTCCCCCTCGTGCAGCCAGAGCTTTTCCGAGCTGAGCGATGACTCACTGGCGCAGGTGGTGACTTTGGTGGGCCTCGCCTGGTTCCCCGCCACGGCCGCTCGGCATCCGGGGAGGTAGAGACGGTTGTTTGGTTGGTTGGGTTGGGTTGGTTCATTGGGCGGTTAGTTGGGTTGGTTGGTTGCTGGCTGGCTGACTTGCTTGGCTTTCTTGGCTTTGGTGGCTTGGTTGGTTTGGTTTGGTTTGCTTGGTTTGTTTGGTTTGGTTGGGTTGGTTGGGTTGGTTGGTTAGTTGGTTGGGTTGGTTGGTGGGGTTGGTCGGATTGGGTTGGTTGGTGGGGTTGGGAGGGGTTGGGTGGGGTTGGGTGGGTTGGGTTGGGTGTGGTTGGACTGGGTTGGTGGGGTGGGTTGGGTGGGTTGGTGGGGTGGGTTGGGTGGGTGGGTTGGGTGGGTTGGGTGGGTCGGGTTGGGTTGGGTTGAATTAGGTTGGGGTTGGTCGGGTTGGTTAGGTTGGTTGGTTTGTTGGCTTGGTTGGCTTAGTTGGGTTGGTTGGTTTGATGGGGTTGGGTGCTTGGTTGGTGGGTGGTTGGCTTGGTTGGCTTGTTTTGGTTGGTTGGGTTGGTTGGGTTAGTTTGGTTGGCTCAGCTGGTTGGGTTGGAAGGTTTGGTTTTGTTAGTTTGGTTTCAGTTTGGGTTCGGGTTTGGCTAAGGTTGGGTTGGGTGGGCTTGGGTGGTTGGTTGTGTTTAGTTGGTTTGGTTTGGTCGGTCGGTAGGTTGGTTGGTTGTTTGGGTGGTTGGTTGGTTGGGCGGTTGATTGGGTCGGTGGTTGGTCCGTTGTCAACCTGTGCTTTTTTGACCTCTCGACTCGAACATCGTCGACTCCTTTCCGGCGGCCGGCAAAGTCTAAGCTTTGCGCGCGGGGTTTCTTCAATGGCCAGGGAATGACACCTCACTTCCTGAGTTCATGAATTTTAAACTTTTTGGGAGGATCATCTTAGTGGGTAGATATAAAGTCTGGGGACGTTTTTTGGGCCATCCACGCAGCAAGTGAGACACTCTCGTTCCAAGAGGTTGTTAGTCCACGTTCTTGGTCTTTCACCTTTCGATGTTTGGAACACTCGGGTCCTGCACCTCAAACATGTGTTGCTTTTGAGGCACCGTTGGAGGCCACTAACCAGCAACAAGCGAGCACAACTTTCTGCGACGGGTCTTGAGTGTGACTCCTTTTGGGTGTGTCTTCAATTGGGGCAGCACTTGATTTTAGCGGCTTGCTGGCGATTTTTTTCAATTTGCACCGCCAAGCAATTGGGATGCATTGAACAGCTCAGCAGTTGAAAGCTAACCGTCTAAAGGTAAAGCTTGGGTAGATGAAGGTTGGTAAGGGATAGGTGCATCCGCCTCTGTTTTTTTTTTTTTTTAAGGTTCTGGGTAGACCATTTTGATTTCCAGGTTGTGATTATGACTCATGTAGCGTTGGGAAAACCAGACGAAACACCACCATGCTGGGGAGGTACCCTAAAGGAAAGGACCCACGCATACTGTGGATGAACAGAATCCTGCACTACCCAATCAACCATAGGAAGCTATTGTTTGTTGGTATGTACAGGGCAAGCATCATTCCAGGGTTTTTGCGTGGTGCAGGATTTCGTTCGTCCACAGTAGCTTTTGTTTCACGGTTGCTGGGGTTGAGGGAAAAAAGAACGCACTGCCGTCCTCCTTAGGCGATCACCTCCACCCTGGGCTTTGTGCTGGTGCGCCTGGTGAGGCGAGCGACCGGAAGTATTCGTTATATGGCTGTGGTGGTCAAAGCCGTTTTGGGATCCCATTTTGGGGTAGGTGAATTCAGCACCCATTTTACTCGGGATCTTAGTGGGGATTGGGATGTTCACATTTGTGTTACGATTTGGATTTTGGCCATGACCATATTTCTTCCAGAGAAACGTAAGCCACTGGCAAAGCACGGTCCGCCCCGCAGGGTCGACCACCTCGGGTCGCAGGGAGCCCGGAACAGCGGATCGGGAGAATTTTGTCTTTTCAGGGGATGGCACACAATTTCTTTGGCACACTCGCTTGTCTTCGCGGGGGAGCTCGCACCATGTCTTCGCGCTTTTGCGCTCCGGTGACCAGGGTTTTGCAGAAGGGCCTATGTGGTTGGAACAGGCGAACGGGCTGCGGACGGGCTTTTGGAGCCGGTTTTTATAATGCGCGAATCCTGTTGAAAGTCACAAACTGCTCATAGGGACGACTCCGGTATCACACAAAGGGTCAATTACCTCCATTTAGTGTATCTTTTTGTTGGGGACCTCCCCCCCCAAGTTGTGCTTGTTTCTTGGTTTTCCTTGCAACCACCAATCGGGGTACCCTCAAGAAAAGACAGACCCGCATGGGAACCAAAAGCGTCGACTCAAAGGGCATCAAGCCCGTTTTCAGGTGCCGATTCAGGTGTTCCTGTGGATTCTCTACGGGGGTGGCACGAACCCCATGTTTTGATAAGAAGACCGTATTTTGTTTGTTTTCACTGAGGGGGAAGAATTGATGAACCAGCTCGAGAGATCGTAGGAGAACTCAGTACCAGGCAAGAAGGCGACAAATCCTTCAAGCCCTTTAAACTTTTAACCCTTTCACACCCGTAACCTTCACATCTTTTGACATGTTGATCTTTCAACCTTCTCCACCTTGAAACCTTGAGAAGACAGCGTCGCAAGTGCTGGGATGCAGGTTTCACATTTCTGGTTCATGGGATGCAGGTTGGCATACCTTGCAGATCGTCATTTCCTTTGTGTTACTTCTGTCAGACGCGCAGAGAACCGTATTGCCGACCATTGTCTGAAACTCGAGGAAACCGAAGATAAACAAACCACCTAAAGCAACATCACAAAGTCGCGCAAAAAAAATCAGCAAAGCAACAACCGCAGGCTAGCTTATCAGCTTACAACTTGAGCATTGTCCCTCAAGGCTATGTTAATGTTATTTTTGTCATTGTTGTTGCCACTACGATCACTATTACTACCGTTATTACTGCTATTATCACTTGCATTTTTTCCAGTCAACGCTTTCCTGGTTCGATTTTTGGGTTTTGTTTCGGTGTCCTCAAGCGCTCCGAGTCAAACTACTCTCACATGTCTAGCACATAGGCATATGTCTAGTCAACGCTCAGGGGATTTCTGTGAAAAGAACACAACACCAAAAATCAAGACCGTCCTTCAGTGTTCGATTCTTTCTGGGTTTGGTGTCAAGTAGTATAGCTGTTCCATGGGTGTCTATTATGTGTAGCATGCTTTTAGTGCTGTTTTGCAAAGTATCATATATATATATATATATATGTATATATATATATATTTACACATTTTGAGCATGGCTGCATATGTCTGTAACATTTCTTGAAGTCTGAGCATGTGTCAAGTGCATTCCAATCATATGTCTATCATATGTGCATCATAGTTGTATGGCATTCCTATTTGGTTTCTAGCATGTGCGATGCATTCTTTCCGCATAGACTTTGCATTGCATAATCCTATCATGGTTCTTTCAGTTCGCACCCACACGCACACACACACACACGGCCTCATGGCCAGAGTATGTTCAGCCTGCTTATGACGAGTTGCTTGAAGCATATGTCAAGCTGCATGTATCCCACATTTTTCTTGCAAATTGTTCTATCACTTGGAAGACCTTCCAAACCGCAAAATCAATACAACGGGAAACACACACACACACGGCCGTGCGTGCTTGGGGCATCAGCCGAAAAGGGTCACAAGGAAGGGGAGCCCTGTTTTTTTTCTTCTTCGCCGTCGTTTTTTTTCTTTTTCAGGCGGCTGATGGGCTGGGGCGGCTTGGACCTCCGGCACTTGCAGACCTGGCTCATGGCGCCTTGGGGCATCAAGCCGGTGGCATCCGGCCATCGGACCGAGCCAAAGGGGAAATCGCGAGGTGACTCCCTGGTGTTTTTTTATTTTTATTTTTTGGGACTGGGTTCTCCCTTTTTAGTAAAGGACAACCCCAAAAGAGAACCAAAAGAAACAGACAGAGCAATTCACTCTTCCCGAAAGCCACAGCCGGTGTAGCAACTTCACATTTGTGGCGTCGGGTTGCGTTGTTTTTCCGGCCATGTTTTTGTTCCCCCTCAACTTTTTGTTTAGCGAATTGAGCATACAGGATTTGCGGGTTTTACTGGACGATGTTGCCCCAATGTTTGCACTTCCTGTCCTGGGGCGGGGTGAATTTGTGATCCCACATTCTTTTCCCTTTGACACGAGTTCGGTTATGTCTTGGGCCATGAGGTGAGTTTCCTGTAGGAACTTGTGAGACCGTTGGCCGGATTCGGGTGGAGGAAACTTGGAAGCTGATTTGAGAGGTGTTCGATGCGTGAGAGAACTCCAGATAGGTCGTCCAACTTCTCAGTTTCGGTGCTGGGCTTGGGTGACTTTTTGGGAATGCCATGTTTGTGGCAACAACAAGTAAAACAAAGCAAACACACATTTTATTTATTCGAGTAGGTTCCTGCAATGGCTGCGCAAGCTTTCATTGATGGGAATCCTGAGGATGCTGATCACATTCAATACTGGTACTGACAGTATACAATTGAACGCATGGTGGAATATTTGGTAGCACAAGGGGGCAAAATTTGCTATCCACTCAGAGATGATCATGGTTGGATTTATTGAGTAGTCACATTAAAAACAAATCCAACTATTGCAAGGACACCAAGAGAGGCCGTCGCTATTCCTAGGTCCCCAAGTTGTTGGACATGCCACTCTTGCTTCTGGTTGTTGGACGCATCCGTGGAAAATCATGGCAGCTCTCTTTTCGGACACCACCAACTTGGGTTGAACTGCCATATCTTTATTGGGGAAGCCGCCGCCCTTTTTGGGAAATGGGAACCCAGCCACGTTGGCAAGCCTCCCATTTCTGGAGCCATTTGGAGGTGTCATTGTTCTTTGAATTGGTCTACGGATAGTTTTACTTTCTTTCGCCTTTGATTTGAACGGGAAGTGCAAGGGACATCTTCCAGTTTCTTGCCTCGTCTTTTGGTGGGAAACTGGGCTTTCCGACTTTCTGTGAGGATTCCCCCTGCATGGAAATTCCACTTCATAGATTCCGGGTTTTCCACGGGTTCATTGCTCCTTTTCGCCTTTTGGACAGTCCCCCTCAAAATCTGCCAAACAAGGGCTTTCCCAGTTTTCCTCAGGGAAATGAATGCACTGGTACCCATGGAAATCCAAAGGAAACCGCTGGGTAAGTGTTCCAGATTTGCGAGAACTTCTCTATGTAACACCTGTTCCCCTGACATCCCAATGCATGCGCATTTTTATCTCGACATTTGCTGAACTTACTCCAAGGGACCCCCCCCGCACACATTGATGGTTTGCGGATTTCCTTTAAAATCAAAAGGCGCAGAAGATACTCAAAGCAAGCGTAGTAGCAAGGCAGCCGTGGTCCTATTTTGGTTGTGACAGGACCCCAAATAGATCATTTTCGGATTTCCGTCCAACTCACCATTTTTTCGGTCTCCTTCAGAATCGCCAAAGAACAAGGAGCCCTCCAAGAAGGTTGACCCCGAAAAATCGATCGTCTTTCCATGTTCGGATTTTGCCAAAGCACTCCGAAGAGACATAGACCGATTTCGCCGGAGAGAAAGTGGGCGAGGTGAACTTCTTTCTGTACCTGCCGCGGGTGAACCGTCTGCTGATCGTGAACTTCGGGTGCCAAACCTTCGACACCTCCAGGCGCCAGATCCGTCGGCACGCGGGTGGGGGCATTTGAAGCTCAAGAGGGGACACACACACACACATGTCGTTTGTTTCATGGTTTGTTTTCTTGACTATTGTTTGGTTCCATTCAATTATTTAGTTGGTTAGTTAGTTAGCCCTATTGTGACATATACCCATACGGCGGGAGAATCACCCCTTGGTTGTTTTGTAGGGGGATTCCCTTGCGGTTGCAGAACAATGAACAAATTCGCAAGATCTGTTGCTTTTTGATAGGACACGGGGTTCTGTATGTGCCCCTTCACCCCACCAAAGGGGAACTCAATCATTGGCCACCAGAAGGCGATACTTATCCATTTTCCGCAGCTATGGAAGTGAGTCTGTCTCTATTTGAGGGTACTCCCAAGGGAAACCAAAAGGCACACCGAAATCTTACTTTTGGGGGATCCGATTCCCTGAGAAAAGGATGGGCCCAAGTGGACAGGTGCATGGCGAATCAAAGCGGGTATGGGTCAAAATGAAACCACCGGGGGATGGCAGGTGTTCGTCCTTGGTTCCATTTACCAGGGCAAGCCATTTTGGGGTTGCCCTATTTTTGACCCACTGCCAAGTGATATGCCAAGGCATGCGCTAGGCCGGCCACAAGTATCAGACCTGTTTCGTTGGTTTAGTCGCTTGGCCCCGAACCAAGCTGCGGGCCATTTTTCCTGGAATTGTTTTGTCACTCAAAGAAAGGGCGTCGCGCAGTATACTTTTTTCTCGGATTTTTTTTTGCACTAAAGGAAAGGGCGTCGCGCAGGAGCATGCTCACCGATGTGGCAGTGGGTCAAAACCAATGGTACCATGCTGGGGTCGGTGAATTCACCACCCATTTCAGAACCTATTTTAGTGGGGACTGGGATGTTCACTGGGGGTACGATTTGGATTTCGACCCATGGCCATGTGTCGCCAGGGCAGCTGCAGAAATGAAGCTTTCCCAGTTGACGCCACGAGGCTTTTGTGAGGCAACATGGGCGCAAGACCCAGCACTCTTCATTGCTGGAATTGGATTTTCATTCGCCTTTCAGCCTTTCAATGGAAGTGGACGTCTTCCATGTTCCAAGACCATCCGGTGCCAATTCGCAGCTACCCCTTCTTTGGTGCATGTTGCTTGGATGTTAGGACTTAAACCTTTTTTGGACAACTAGTGGGTTAACTTTTGGCAGGGGAGCAGAAAGCAACCGAGCCTTAGTTGGTGGTTTGGATTGGTGGGATTTGAATCCCTGCTGGTAGAGAGTAAGTCCCAGCTCCTTCGCCACCAAACACCCAGGGAAGCTGAACGAACCCAGGGGCCGAGTCCAGGTTGACCATGGATCCCCGAGTGAGTTGCTGGTCACAGGACGCGGGGCAAGGGAGATGGAGGGGCGGATTGGACCAATCCGAACCGCCTCACAAGGAAAGACGGTCAGGTTGGTGTGTGGCTCTGAGCTGTATGATCTTGCATTTGCTCAAACATATGCTATTTTTATTAGTTTCCCCTTTTAAAGGGAATCTCTCACTACTGGAAATATACATAATTTTCTCAGGGGGCTTAAGCAAATGAAGGCGATGTATTTTGTTTTTTCTTGGGTTGAATGTGCCAAGCTGGTTGAGCTGGTTGGTCCTGCTCTTTTCAGAAAAAGCGCAGCTTCAGGGTCATCATGCCAGCATGCCGACTTGGTGCTGAAGCACAAATCGTAGCATGAATACCGAATTTGAGCATAGAAGTAAGCGGAGGAAAAGGAACTAAATAGGGTTCCCTTAACAATGGCGAACGAACGGGGGAACAGCTAGAGTTGGAAACTAAGGCTTCAGTCTTGGGTTGTGACAGCACCAACAGCGGCGCAAGCGTAAGCCTCTTGGAAAGAGCATTTCACTTGGGAGAATCCTGTGGGTCGCTCGGCGTCCACTGCTCTTAAAGTCACGCTTCTTGGAATTGGAGCGTAGATTTGGCGGTAAGTGTCTACAGCGAAATATAAGCTCGAGACCTGTAGCAAACAAGTACCATGAGGGAACTATGAAAAGGACGTTGGAAAGAGAGTTACAAGTGCTTGACATCACCTGCCGTCGTTAAAGTCAACGTTTTACGCGTTCTCTAAATGACTTTAAGAGGCGGAACGGCTGTTTGCCGTAGATTGCGGTGAAAATGTGGGTGCGGCTTCTGCCACTCCAAATATCAGTGAATCTGTCCGCCCTTTAATTCAAATTTGATCAATCAAAGTTGCACGCCCCGAGATTTTCACTCCAAAGTTCAGCGTTTCAGGGCGAAACACTGAAATCTGGGGGGTGAGCATTTTCTCACGGAGTTTTTGTTGTGAATCACGGCCCAGCACTGAAACTCGCGGTGAACATTTCCCCACCAAGCGGCAAGGCGTCGCTTTACTGGACCCAGAGCAAGGGGGAAGGGAATGGAACCAAGATGGATTTTGGAGGTACGGATGGTTGTATGTGACCCAGTTTCAGCCTGCAAGGCAGCATATGCCCTTCCATACGAGTGGTATATCACCTTTTTCCTGCACCACCCACACCTATGCCAAGTTCTTTGGCTCGGGCTGACGCCGCAGGCTCCCACTTTTGAAGGATGGCCTTCCGATCAAAATCAGCTCGTTGAAACCCGCTCCCGGAATGGCTCTGGCCGCAGAAATTGGCCTGAGCCCCAACTCTCTACTGCTATTGGGCTGGATCTTTAGACTTGAACTTTTGGCCTCATATTTCCTTTTAACCAGCAAAAAGCTCATCTTTGTGCTGGGGGATCTACAGCACCCAAGAACTGAGGCATCCATCCCCCTTCCAATCAGCAACAGGTCTTCTCGCCGGGGGCTCTAGGGTGGCTTTTTCTTTCCTGGTACAAAGGCCCGGCCGTCTTCCGCTTGCGGTCTGCAAGCCGCTTGTTTGGATGTTCAACCCCTATGTGGATATAACCAATGTGAAACATGTGCGCGAACCCCAGTTTCCCCAGTTACTTACATTTTCGTGGCTCCATCACAGTTTGATTGGCTCTCAAAATGACTTTTGATGGCTGTTTCCCTTTGAATCGCCATTTCGGAATTGAACGAAACGACACTTCAGCAATTCATAACTCCATTCATGAAGTTGAATCCGTGAACCCGTCCGTTCAAAGCTGAATCTGCCCAAAGCTCCCTCAACATTTTTGCTCGAGGAACATGTGGTGTGGCAGATGCTGAGCTGGGGCGGTTTGTTTGTCTTCTCTGTTGGCGGGCCGCTGCTGCTGTATATGGTGCTCAGGCGAATGGGGCGTCTTTTGAGTTGGTACCCGTGTTGGGGTTGTTCGAAGGGGGAGCCATAGGAAAGTCACTTATTTCGGGGTCCCTCAACACGAGAACCCACTTGGTGGTAGCGGCAGTTGGGTGCTTTTTGTCCTTTGGCAGCTTTCCAAATAAGCGGTGGTTCGGAGCTTTTGGAGAGGGTTGCATCAGGTTGGCCCTGTTTTTCCGAACTCCCCAACCATCTTGGGGCCGAAAAACGTGACGGGGAACGGTTTCATTGCGGACTCCTTTTAGGTCTTCTCGCGGTGGCTTGGAACCCGCTTTTGCGGCACGTCCCCCTCCGCAAGCTTCAAACCTGCTCAACACAAGCATATGTTCCAACGGGGATGCCGATATTTTTGAGGCACACAGGTATGCGAAGGGTTCATGAGACGCATGCCGGGGATATTTTCAGGATGCCTTTTTTTGCCGCCAGTGACGGCACAACTGTTTGGGATTGGGGTTAATTATGGCTCTTGTAAGGGGTTCCTTGGGAGCCAGAACCGGAACCTAGGATCAACAACCCCCATGTCAATTGGGGAAGCGCCAGGTTGGCAGTAGGAAAAGCAAGCTCCACCGCGAGCAGGCGAGTGCTGGTTGCTTTTTGTTGGGGTGATTTCCAAGGAACTTTTTTTGGTTGTTTCTACGTGTTGGTTGCTTTGTTGGTTGAATGTTTTGGTCAGTTGGATATTTCTACGTGTCGGTTGCTTTGTTGGTTGAATGTTTGGTTATTTCTATGTGTTGGTTGCTTTGTTGGTTGAATGTTTTGGTTATTTCTACGTGTTGGTTGCTTTTTTGGTTGAATGTTTTGGTTGTTTCTACGTGTTGGTTGCTTTGTTGGTTGAATGTTTTGGTTGTTTCTACGTGTTGGTTGCTTTGTTGGTTGAATGTTTTGGTTATTTCTACGTGTCGGTTGCTTTGTTGGTTGAAATTTGAGTGTTTTGGTTATTTCCACGTTTTGGTTGCTTTGTTGGTTGAATTTTGAATGTTTTGGTTATTTCTACGTGTTGGTTGCTTTTTTGGTTGAATGTTTAGGTTATCCTAGGGCTTCGTCATCACCAGCTGCGCTGGCCGGTCGGACAGGTGAGATGGGGAGGACTAAGAAGAACTCTATTTAGGCGGGACCTTGTTTCGGAGCCTGACCTCCGGACCACCCCAAGCACGCACTCACAAGCACAAGAGGCTGCAAGGTTGCTTGCCCAACCCCCCTGAACTGAGCACAAACTCACCACCCTAGCTTGAGCGCATGTGTGCCTGCTTGCGTCCGGCGCTTGCATCCGGCGCGCCGCACGTGTCTCACACCGAAAGCCAATCAGACCAAGAAACGCATCCCCGGCAGCCCGTCCCAGCCCCACAGAAACCGGTGGAAAAATGCAAGACAAAACACGGTATGCGCGATGTTTTCCGTGCGCGGCGGCGGCCGCGCTTGCGCAAGAAAAGCCGCCCCCTCGATCGCAGACTTGTCCGCCATGTCCGCCTACCGCCAAAACCTACTCTCAGGGGGCCATTTTTGAAGGGTTTGAGCGATGCAGGGGATGCAGGGATGTAAGGGATGCTGGAACGCCCAGATGCTGGTGATGCAGGGATTGCCGAGGATGCTGGCAGGATGCAGAGGATGTTGGCGGGGATGCTGGCAACTGTCCGGGGCGATTTGCACAGTATTTACTGTGTTTTTTGAAGGTCAGGCAACGTGGCATCAGAAGCCCGTTGCAAGTCCAGGGAGGTCGGGGATGTTTTGCGGTCCAAGTGTCAGTGTTTGGGCCGGCCTGCGTGACGGGCAGGGTTGCCCTCGCTCTTCGAGCTCGAAGACACACAGCGCAGCTGGATTCGACATGTCGGTTGCTTTGTTGGTTGAATGTTTTGGTTATTTCTACGTGTTGGTTGCTTTGTTGGTTGAATGTTTTGGTTGTTTCTACGTGCCGGTTGCTTGTCCGGGTGAATGTTTTGGTTACGACTATTTCTACGTGTTGGTTGCTTTTTCGGTTGAGTGTTTTGGTTGTTTCTACGTGTTGGTTGCTTTTTTGGTTGAAGTGATTTCTACGTGTTGGTTGGTTTTTGGTTGACTGTTTTGGTTGTTTCTACGTGTTGGTTGCTTTGTTGGTTGAATGTTTTGGTTATTTCTACGTGTTGGTTGCTTTGTTGGTTGAAGTTATTTCTACGTGTTGGTTGCTTTGTTGGTTGAATGTTTTGGTTATGTCTACGCGTTGGTTGCTTTCTTGGTTGAATGTTTTGGTTATTTCTACGTGTTGGTTGCTTTTTTGGTTGAATGTTTTGGTATTTCTACGTGTTGGTTGCTTTGTTGGTTGAATGTTTTGGTTATTTCTACGACGTCGGTTGCTTTTTCGGTTGAATGTTTTGGTCGTTTCTACGTGTTGGTTGCTTTTTTGGTTGAAGTTATTTCTACGTGTTGGTTGATTTTTGGTTGACTGTTTTGGTTGTTTCTACGTGTTGGTTGCTTTGTTGGTTGAATGTGTTGGTTATTTCTACGTGTTGGTTGCTTTGTTGGTTGAATTTTGATTGTTTTGGTTATTTCTACGTTTTGGTTGCTTTGTTGGTTGACTGTTTTGGTTATTTCTACGTTTTGGTTGCTTTGTTTGGTGAATGTTTCGGTTATTTCTACGTGTTGGTTGCTTTTTTGGTTGAATGTTTTTGTATTTCTACGACGTCGGTTGCTTTCTCGGTTGAATGTTTTGGTTGTTTCTACTGGTTGGTTGCTTTTTTGGTTGAGCGTTTTGGTTATTTCTACGTGTTGGTTGCTTTGTTGGTTGAATATTTTGGTTATTTGGATATATCTACGTGTCGGTTGCTTTGTTGGTTGAATGTTTTGGTCATTTCTACGTGTCGGTTGCTTTGTTGGTTGAATGTTTTGGTCAGTTGGATATTTCTACGTGTCGGTTGCTTTGTTGGTTGAATGTTTGGTTATTTCTACGTGTTGGTTGCTTTGTTGGTTGAATGTTTTGGTTATTTCTACGTGTTGGTTGCTTTGTTGGTTGAAATTTGAGTGTTCTGGTTATTTCCACGTTTTGGTTGCTTTGTTGGTTGAATGTTTTGGTTATTTCTACGTGTTGGTTGCTTTGTTGGTTGAATTTTGAGTGTTTTGGTTATTTCCACGTTTTGGTTGCTTTGTTGGTTGAATTTTGAATGTTTTGGTTATTTCTACGTGTTGGTTGCTTTGTTGGTTGAATGTTTTGGTATTTCTACGTGTTGGTTGCTTTGTTGGTTGAATGTTTTGGTTATTTCTACGTGTTGGTTGCTTTGTTGGTTGAATGTTTTGGCTATTTCTACGTGTTGGTTGCTTTGTTGGTTGAACGTTTTGGTTATTTCTACGCGTCGGTTGCTTTTTTGGTTGAATGTTTTTTGTGTTTCTACGTGTCGGTTGCTTTTTTGGTTGAATGTTTTGGTCATTTCTACGTGTCGGTTGCTTTTTTGGTTGAATGTTTTTGTATATCTACGTGTCGGTTGTTTTTTTGGTTGAATGTTTTGGTTATTTCTACGAGTCGGTTGCTTTGTTGGTTGAATGTTTTGGTTATTTCTACGTGCTGGTTGCTTTGTTGGTTGAATGTTTTGGATATTTCTACGTGCTGGTTGCTTTGCTTTGTTGGTTGAATGTTTTGGATATTTCTACGCGTCGGTTGCTTTTTTGGTTGAATGTTTTTGTATATCTACTTTTCGGTTGTTTTTTTGGTTGAATGTTTTGGTTATTTCTACGAGTCGGTTGCTTTGTTGGTTGAATGTTTTGGTATTTCTACGTGTTGGTTGCTTTGTTGGTTGAACGTTTTGGTTATTTCTACGTGTTGGTTGCTTTGTTGGTTGAATGTTTTGGTTATTTCTACGTGTTGGTTGCTTTGTTGGTTGAACGTTTTGGTTATTTCTACGCGTCGGTTGCTTTTTTGGTTGAATGTTTTTTGTGTTTCTACGTGTCGGTTGCTTTTTTGGTTGAATGTTTTGGTCATTTCTACGTGTCGGTTGCTTTTTTGGTTGAATGTTTTTGTATATCTACGTGTCGGTTGTTTTTTTGGTTGAATGTTTTGGTTATTTCTACGAGTCGGTTGCTTTGTTGGTTGAATGTTTTGGTTATTTCTACGTGCTGGTTGCTTTGTTGGTTGAATGTTTTGGATATTTCTACGTGCTGGTTGCTTTGCTTTGTTGGTTGAATGTTTTGGATATTTCTACGTGTTGGTTGCTTTGTTGGTTGAACGTTTTGGTTATTTCTACGCGTCGGTTGCTTTTTTGGTTGAATGTTTTTTGTGTTTCTACGTGTCGGTTGCTTTTTTGGTTGAATGTTTTGGTCATTTCTACGTGCTGGTTGCTTTTTGGTTGAATGTTTTGGATATTTCTACGTGCTGGTTGCGGTTGCTTTGTTGGTTGAATGTTTTGGATATTTCTACGCGTCGGTTGCTTTTTTGGTTGAATTTTGAATGTTTTGGTTAATTCTACGTGTTGGTTGCTTTGTTGGTTGAATGTTTTGGTTGTTTCTACGAGTCGGTTGCTTTGTTGGTTGAATGTTTTGGTTATTTCTACGTGTTGGTTGCTTTGTTGGTTGAATGTTTTGGTTATTTCTACGTGTTGGTTGCTTTGTTGGTTGAATTTTGAATGTTTTGGTTAATTCTACGTGTTGGTTGCTTTGTTGGTTGAATGTTTTGGTTATTTCTACGTGCTGGTTGCTTTGTTGGTTGAATGTTTTGGATATTTCTACGTGCTGGTTGCTTTGCTTTGTTGGTTGAATGTTTTGGATATTTCTACGTGTTGGTTGCTTTGTTGGTTGATTTTGGCATGTTTTGGCTATTTCCACGTTTTGGTTGCTTTGTTGGTTGAATGTTTTGGTATTTCTACGTGTTGGTTGCTTTGTTGGTTGAATGTTTTGGTTATTTCTACGTGTCGGTTGCTTTGTTGGTTGAATGTTTTGGTCAGTTGGATATTTCTACGTGTCGGTTGCTTTTTTGGTTGCATGTTTTTGTATTTCTACGTGTTGGTTGTTTTTTTGGTTGAATGTTTTGGTTATTTCTACGAGTCGGTTGCTTTTTTGGTTGAATGTTTTGGTTATTTCTACGAGTCGGTTGCTTTTTTGGTTGAATGTTTTGGTTATTTCTACGTGTTGGTTGCTTTGTTGGTTGAATTTGAATGTTTTGGTTATTTCTACGTGTTGGTTGCTTTGTTGGTTGAATTTGAATGTTTTGGTTATTTCTACGTGTTGGTTGCTTTGTTGGTTGAATGTTTTGGTATTTCTACGTGTTGGTTGCTTTGTCGGTTGAATGTTTTGGTTATTTCTACGCGTCGGTTGCTTTTTTGGTTGAATGTTTTTGTATTTCTACGTGTCGGTTGCTTTTTTGTTTGAATGTTTTGGTCCTTTCTACGTGTCGGTTGCTTCTTTGTTGAATGTAAAGGGCAGCTTTTTTCTTTTTCTCCCACAGGCGCTTGTACAAGTCGGAGGTTCTGGGCAGCTACCGAGTGCTCAAGACCTACGGCTTCCTTTTCGCGGGATTTGAACCCTCCTTCTACTACTTCGAGTGCATCTACATGCGCCTTTTCGAAAAGGAACAACTTGTGTTTGTGGCTGTGGTTGTCAGAACCGTTTTGGGATCCCATTGAATTCACCACCCATTTTAGAACCTATTTTAGTGGGGATTGGGATGTTCACTGGGGGTACGATTTGGATTTTGACCCACACCCTTGTCAAAACGGGTTGCTTTGAGCTTAGGCCATGTCGTGGTTTCCTTTCGACCTGCGAACCACTCATAATATATTTGACACTCTCAGGGTGCTCAGTTGGCACACTTTTGCTTTTCTTTCCGGGTGTTTTCATTTTGGTAGATGCCTGCAAAGCTCGAGTTGGTCACGAGGGCGCCAACTTTTTGCGAAGTGTGTCAATGGTCCGACAAGGACCACTTGACCATGGTCAAAGGGAATCCATTTACAACATAGTTCCACAAAGGGCATACCAGGAGTTGAGACCAACCATTTTCCCATTTGAGAAAGGAAGTGCTATGTTCCTTCGTTTGGTGAGCTCCCGGGGCTCATCCAGGACGGGTTCACTGGCCCACTTACCCAAGCTAGACATGGAGATGGCGTGATGACCTTGTTCAACATCTATGCGGAGGCCCATGATCTTGGGACACCTGTTCAATGTGGGCACCCTCAAAGGAAATACCGCTATGGTCAAGATTGACTACGCCAATCCTCTTGGCACCATTTCATCAAGCCACACCAACCTTATTTGGTAGGTTTATCCCTCCCTTCCAGGGATTGAGTTCTAGAAAACGGTTTGGATGCGCCTTGTGTGGATTTCACCGGTTCGTAGCCCCTGTCGGTTCTTCTTTACTCTGTTAGTCTCCTGCAGGGGTGGATCCACAACAACCCGCCAAGCCGTTTTCTGGATCGAGTATGCCGGAAGTCCCAGGTTCCGGAAGCTCTGCTTTGAGCTGGTCATGACATTGCCGGGCATGACCTCAGAGGACCAGGCGAAAGAGGGGGGGATTTTGGCTCACTTTTAATTTTTTTTTGGTCTCGAGAGAGAGAGCACTTTAAAAATCCTCGCCCGACTCCAAAGATCATTTAAGGCTCAAATATTACGCAGCTGGGGCAAACTGCAGGTTTGAGGGCTTTTTGTTTCTATAAACCAAGGTGCCAGTTTAGATGGGGCGCCATTTTTTGAGCCACAGCCGTGATGCCCTGTTGATTCAGAGCAACTCGCGAAAGGGAGCTATGGAATTTTTCTTCATGGTCCTTGGCATCAGCAGGCAACACAGCCTCCCCTGGTTATGGCTCTGAATCAGAGAATGGGAATGGCGGGTGACACCAGATCCCCTGATCATGCTCATCAACGGTCAAACCCCTTTTCAAGAACGTGACCTAATGTTTGTGCCTGAAGCTTCTGCCTTCCAACAGGGTCCGCCTCAAGCTAGAATTCGACAGGTAGAAGGCACACCTTCAGATTTTCCAAGCGGTTCTCTGCATCTGCACACGAGTTTCCACCTACAACCTACCTGGATGGCTTCTTGGTCGTTGGCATGCTCGACCTTCAACTCTCTTTTTGAGGGGAACACGCAAATACAGATTCCTTGCCAGACTCATACGTATGGCAGTTTGCTATTTTGAGACGAGCTCATGCGGGTGTGTCTTCTTCTGAGTTGGTATCCTTTTTCAGGCGATTTGAAAGGAATTCGAAGGGACACAACCCAATTTGAGGGTTCCAATATATATGAAGACACCGTCCTCTTTGCTCGGGGGTTCTGCATAGGGTGGTCCGTTTGTTTTTCGAAAGTCAAGACAATTTGACTGTTGAATCCTGTGGAGATTCGACCAATATGATTGCACTTCAACTTGGATGTTCAACCAAGGTCTAAGCCATGGTTTTAGCTGGGGTAGTAGTGTTTTGCTTCTGGGAACAAGGGAAAGGCCTACTTATATACTTGCTAAGTGTTGAACCTCAGGCAGCGGAATGCATTGGGAGCAATTGGTTCCTTTCCTCGATGTCTTTCCTATTTCTACCCGTATCGCTTTTAGTTTAATGAGGCACACCCTTCCGAATGGTGGACGTCAAACCGCGTGAATGATGTGCACTTGTTTCCCAAAGTTGATCCAAAACGGGTTGGCTAGTAGCCACGTGGACAAAATCCACTTCGCATAGCAATCCATGAAACCTGAAGCATTTATATACTGGGACAAGCCGCCTATCAACTGCTACTGCGGATGTTGTGCATCCGCATTATGCGTGGTTTTTTTTGGGGGTTTTCGGGGACCCCCCAAAAATAGTGGCTTTGCTTTTCGCTTCGCTTTAAAGCTCACCACAAAGGGGAACACTCAAACAAAGACACACCCATGTCCTTTTCTCCTCTCCGTTTTTGGCACAGATTGGTTAGGGGACCCGAAAACCAGGTTCTGATACACGGCTCCAGCTTGCACAGGATTTCGGAACCAAGCTTGCTGGTGCTCAGTAGGGAATGTGGGACAGAAAAAGTCACCCGTTGGATGGTTTATCTCGCGGTCATTCCAACTCATTCCGATCGCATCTCGCACCGATCGCAAGCGACCGGGTTTTTTGCTTGCGCTTTGGAAGCATAGGTGTCCCTTTTTAGTTGGTTTGCAAAAAGAAAGGAGGGCTGTCATTTACCAGGGGAAGCCATCTATTTCTCCAAAAGGCCACCTGGGTATGGGTCAAAATGAAACCACCAGGACCGCAGGTTCTGGTCCATGTTTCCATTTACCAGGACTCCGTTTTGGCCACAGGCGGCCTTTTGATCAGTGAGTTTGGCTGGAAATAGATGGGTGCCACTGGTTGGGACGGGTTTCATGCCCCACGTACAGGGAAAACAAAACCCATCTATTTCTCCAAGCCTTGGGGCCGAGCCTTGGGGCAGGAACTGTGGATGGACGAAATCCTGCACCACCTAAGAAACACTGAAATGTTGGTTCCCCTGTAAAAACCAACAAACGTTATGGTTTCAACCATTCTCTCAAAGTGGTGCGAAGTGGATTACGTCCATCCGGCCGTGTGGCCATCTTCGGGAGGCCATCTTGGGTCGCATCAACAACAGCTCCGTGGCCTTCGTGGCCTCGGTCTTCTTCGGGCTGCACATGGCCTGCCAGCCCTACGACAACCGGCGCCCCGGCGGCGTTTGGCCGAGACCGCGGCGAAGAGGGCACGGCTCCTTTTGGCTTTTTGCCCGGGCTTTTTTCTTTTTTCATTTTAACAATGAAACAAATAATCATAATAATAATGATAATGATATTAATAATAATAATGATGACGATGATGACGATGATGACGATGATGATGATAATAATAATAATAATAATAATATAATAATAATAATAATAATAATAATAATAATAATAATAATAATAATAATAATAATAATAATAATAATAATAATAATAATAATAATAATAATAATAATAATAATAATAATAATAATAATAATAATAATAATAATAATAATAATAATAATAATAATAATAATAATAATAATAATAATAATAATAATAATAATAATAATAATAATAATAATAATAATAATAATAATAATAATAATAATAATAATAATAATAATAATAATAATAATAATAATAATAATAATAATAATAATAATAATAATAATAATAATAATAATAATAATAATAATAATAATAATAATAATAATAATAATAACAATGAACATAATAATATAATTGCCACTCTCATAGTCACCCAAGTGGTATTTCAAAGCACCCCAAATGCCATTTGTTGACTTTGGTAGCCCAAGAAACAGGCAAGCCACCCCCATTTTGCTTCCCAAGTCAACCTGGAGCCCAAGACGGGGGTCCAGGAGGAATTTTTCCGCTTGGGCGTTTGGGCTCTGGTGGTTTAACCTGGGTTTGCCTTTAAACCACCCCCCGCCCCTCCCCCCCCAAAAAAATAAAAAGTAAAAATAAAAATAACATGATAATAACAAATATTGGGCACCCACAAAAATTGACACACCCATGTGAACATTTGGAGGGGGGCATGTTGTTTCTTGCTGTTTATGAAGCAGAAGCTTCTTGGAGCTGGGCCACTCCAGACATGGTCCAAGCGAACAGTTTTTTGAGTTGCCTTTGCCATGCTGAGGCCACGAGTTGCAAAATTGCCATGTTGTTCTTTCAGGGTTCTTGTGGCCAGTATGTTCAGTGTCATTTGACCTTGACCTTCCTCCTCGTCTCCCCTCAACATTGTCTGTGTTGCATGCTGCTCCCCCGAACAATGCACCGCTGTGTTCCTTTCTGAGATTGGGATGGCCAGGAGAAAACAAAGCCGCCCATGTGGTTTTCTTGGGGAGCAAGCGCCAGAAAAGCTCCAGGGAAGCCTTTGAAGAGAGCCAAAAGACGACCGGGGGATGGGAAGATCACCTATGTAACATCCATTGACAGAACCTTTGGCCCGCAAACCGGTGAAGCCGCACCTACACCTACACCCCTTGGTTGACATAACCTTTGGCCCGCAAACTGGAGGGATTTGATTGGTTCCCATTCTTCAGGGTCGACTTGGCTGAAAAGAGCTAGGGAGTTTCGAGCCACACTGGAGAGCAAAAGGACGCCATTGCCAGCCAACATCTTCAGGGTTGCATGTCCTATTTGAGAAAACACCCAGGCCCCTTTTGCTGGTGGCTTAGCATATCGCTATTGGTTGCCATAAGTAAGTTTCCCTCGAGTGATGTGTAGAGGACATATATCAACATTTCCAGAGAACACATCTGAGTTCATTGTTGCTGACACGATGCCAGGCGCCGATCGGTTCATAACTAGGCGGTTCCGTTTTGGTGAATGACTTGGCAGCGGTCTCTTTGTTTTCAGCCAAGAAACATGGGATCCCAACCACTTCTTCTTTTTTTTGGCGGCAGGCGCGAATACCAGAGATGGAACGTACAAGAGGGAGGCCTGAAAGGCTTGTTTTCATTGACAATTTTGGGTCGGTTCTCCCGAAATGAATACGCACCACCTAGGAAGACGGAGGTATATGTCCATAGCTCCTAAAGGACACCCCATAGCAATGATAATGTAGAAGGGCGGCCTTGCCTTGTGCTGCTTTTGGAATTGATCCTTAGTGCAATGGGTTTGAGCTAACGTATAGAAGACCTTGTTTTTTGCTTGATTCCCCTGAATCGTACAGCGAGGTACTTTTCTTTTGAATGCTTTAGGCTTCCGCCGTCATTTGCCCGGTCTGAAAACGATTGAGCGCAAGAACGCCGCTAGTCAGCTGACTTGCCGAATCCTTGGAGGTGTCCTTTCAGAACCCGGTTTGGTCCGTCGTAATGTTTGTTGGGGTACCCTTGTGAAGATATCGGTTTAGGGGAATCAAACAGGAAGCCTCTACCATTTGAGGGTCTACACAGCTTGATGACTTGCAAAGGGGTGCTTGGGCAGGTCTGTGAGGGGTCAGGCTCCATGGGTCAGAGTCTCGGCAACCCTCTGGCCAAATCAGGTATATATTAGTACCCAGTTTCATGGAGGTGAGGGCTTTCTGGCTATGAGTTGTGTTTCTTCTCCTTTTTTCTCCGAGTTTGAACCACTCCAAAAGTGGTTGGTGGACATGAGTCCCCACCGAAATGATATCTAGCAAAGGGTTTCCGAATCACAAACCATGCCAACAAACAGGTTCCTTTAAAGCCACGGAATCTAACACAACGGGTCCCTTTCATCATGAACCAATCTGGGTGTTGGTTGTTTTTGAGGGTACCCTTTTTGGGCTTGTCTTTTTTTGTGGCCCTCAACATTGAGACGAGGGACTACTTCATCCTGGACCGCATCGAAACCGCGTCCTTACGCGCCATTTTGATCACAGCCTTCCTGCAGCTCTGGTGTTTGGATACGCGCCTCGGCCGCTGGGCCGTGGGGCCGGACTGGGCCGGACTGGGCCATGACCACACACTTTGGACATTTCGGAGTTCGGGGTTGGGGGGGGGGAAGGGGGGTGAGGCTTTCTTCAAGTTGCAGGGGTCCCTAAGAATCGCCCCCCGTCTGTTGGACTTCCGAAAGTGGACCAGTCATTTGCAACTTTTGAAGGGGAAGTCCAGTGACCCCAGGACTATTCTTTGAACAACCAGTGGTTTCCCTTAGTTTAAACTAATTAAGTGACCAACCCTGGGTTGGCTGTAAGCCAAAGTGACAGGTATCGATGCCAAAGCCCGGCGCTTGAATTTAACCCCCGGGATGGTAGGGACGTTGATTCCAAGCCGTGGGGATTGGCAGCTTCACCCGCCAGTTTTGCTATCGGGGCTTTGGGGTCTTTGGCAACCCGATGATCCCAGGGTGCGGCTCAAGATGAAACGATCTGAGGGGCAAACCGCAGGTCTTGGTCCATGTTGCCACTTGCCAGGGTCCACTTTGGGTACCGTTTTTTTGAGCCACAGCCAGTTGAGTTGTTGCAGACTTTAACTAACTTTTGGCTGGTCGGGGCCTTCATCTTCTCCATCTTCAAAGCACGAGGCCCTTTCCTCCTTTTTGTTGGCCAGCTTTCTGGCTGGCTGGCTGGCTGGCTGCCTGGCTGGTTGATTGGTTGGTTGGCTGGTTGGTTGGCTGGTTGGTTGGTTGGTTGGTTGTTTGGCTGGCTGGCTCCCTGGGGAGAACTTCTGGCCGGATCAGCTCTTCTCAGGGTCAGATCTTTCGGCCATTTTGTTTGCCAGGAACGACGCGGACGGGATTCTGCACGTCCCTGTTCTCCGGGAAGTTCGGAACTTGTTTTGCCCGGACTCCCGGTCGGGTGGGAAATCCCATTCCCTCCAAAAATCCTCAGGTAAACTGCCTATGGGTGTGTCTTATTTTTGGGGAACCCCTTTTTGGAGGCTTTTGAAAGGTGGAAGGGGATTGGGGGATCCCCACCCCAGCAACTTCACAGCGGCATCCCTAAAAATGTTTGTCCACGAGCAAAGCTAAGACTGTTGTGGGTTGGGCTCTTTCAATCACTCAACCAGCATCAAGTACATGGTCGAAACTAGCTTCTGTGGATTCTTCCCCCTTGGAACCATATCTCCGGGACCTGCCGGAAATCATTTCTTGCATGTTTGGAGATGTCATTTCGTAAGGGATTGTGCTGACTCCGGACAACTGCGTGCGTGCTTGAAAGGGAACCAAAACGACGACCGAAGCCATGTGGGGGGTCACAAATGCTAAAGGAGATCCCCAAATCAAGTCGCAGTGGGCTCTTTTTCCCCAAATGCCAGTGAATCCCATTGGGTTTTGAACCCAAAACATTGCCACGTGGCACCTGCGAATGGATATGAGTCGCATGGTTCATCGGGTCAAGAAGTTTCGTGTTTTTCTTCTTCTTCTTTTTTCCCCCCGCTTTTTTTTGTAGCGCCCGGGCATGCCTTTTTGGGGGGTCCCTTTAGGGGTCATGTTGTCCTAAAGGGCGACATTTTTTGTGAGGCGGAGCCCTGGGGGTTTGGATTTTGGGGGTTTGAACACCTCATGGTTTTTCTAGAATCGGGGGGCCAACGGGTAGGCTCTCTGAACCAGTTCAAAACCATTAAGCTCTCCCTTGCAACTGTCCACCCTGGTGGCAAAAGCTGTCTGTTCTTGGACGCCAGAAATGACCAAGGCCAAAGAACAGAGTGTGAGATTTGCTTTTGGTGGGGTGATGTCCCATGCCAGAGTTGACAGTGTTTAAGCTTTCATACTCGGTTGTCGTGAGGCCAAGCGGCATGAGAGACTTTGGGGCCATTTTGGCTCCTTCACTTGGGTTTCCCTCTCGTGTGGTCGGTGTTTTGCATCGTATTGTATATTGTATAGCTAGTATACAGTGCATGTGTAGTGTATGTACACCGACTTTTCTCCTGTCCCGACGGTTTAGTAGTGGATGGCTTCGTATTTTGATAGGGAAACCACCTCAAAGGTGGTTTGCCCAAAACATTCACTGTACAGGTACCTCAGTGCTAATATATACGGGTTTGAGGGTTTTTGACACACTTGTAATTGGCCATCTGCCGTCCCTCCCCAAATGGGCGATGTTATTTTGTTTCCCTTTTCCCCAAGATATTTCCCAACAAGACGCGGCCATATCTTGATGACCATGTTCCAAACTTCAATCGGTAGTGAACAGAACCCTTCAACCTCACATATATGGTCTATATTCGAACCAGCTGGCGGCGGGTGTGGTTCCTTTGAGCTGACACTCATTTTGGCTTTTTTGCATGAGCAGGCAAAAGAATAGCCAAGGGTTTCCATTGCCAGACTGCTCACTTCTCCTCTTCTTGGCTCTCCATCATTTTTTGTCTGGAACGGTGGGGTAGGTCTTTCCGCTGCGGGAACCCAGGAACTTTTCGGGTTTTTTGGAGACGACCCGCGAGACAAGCCAAAACTTGGCGGTTCCCAGCCATCCGGTTCCTTGGCTTTTTAGCCTTTTAGTGTTTAGTGCTTGGATTTCCGAATTCAACTCACTAAAAGTGAGCCACTTTTCGCGGCGGATCCGAAACTGGACAGCCCGGGTGTGTATCATGTGGCTTCCATTTGCTGAAGTGAATATGTTTTTATGCCCCCCTCGTTGGTTATTTGGAGACAACCCGCGAGAGAAGACAAAGCAAGTCCCAGAGGCACGGCGGCCATCGTGCTACTTCACCTCTACTTCTTGTGGCTGGTGTTTTATGCGCTGGCGCGGCGGCGGCTGCAAGGGTGGGTGGCCACCTGCACAGGTGCCGCAAAACAAAGAAAAAACACAGAGAGAGAGAGAGAGAGGAAAAAAAAACCGACTCCTTAGTGGGTTTCCCCCCCTTTCCTCCATTTGTTTCGAGTTTTTTTTTCAGGCCTTTCTTCCTCGTTGGGGTTTTGGAGGTAGGAGAGATCGAAGGCGAGCCGCTCGGGCGTTGGTTTGACCAGATTTCTCTCAAGCCGCGCCATTGAGTCATATGCTCACCGTTAGCAAACACCCCGGAATACCTCCAAACTAATCCAAGCCAACAACTGGGGGGGGGGGGAAGCTGAATGAAGGTTCTTTGCCTGGGAATCTCTTATCTCAGGCTTTGGAAGTATAGAGTTCGCAGATAGGCCCAGAATCAAGCACAGGTATGGCATCAATTTCAATCTCAAAGCAAGACCCTGGTTGCATCTGGTTTTTGATGTACCCATTTTGTATTGTGCTCAACAGGAAATCAGATGGAGACCATGTTGGGTGGTTGGTTCCCCCAAATGGGCCGCATGTTCTCTTTGGTTTCGCAACACAACAAAGGTCAAGAAAGACACACCCAGAAGCCCCCACAGAGTCTCCGAATACTTCGTGTGCTGTCAACCGCGGACGAAAGAACATGTTGGTTACCTTGGAACACTGGGTGAGGCACGGGCAAAATGACTTCTTTCGCCAAGAGGACATGGACTGAGAGTCTCCTGGCTTTTGTGGGAAACTCAAGGAGTCTTATGTTCTATTTTTTGGGTTGAATTTTCCGAAACCTGAGTGGGAATTCGAAGGCGAATTCCCTGCAGGTCGAGACTTCTCCCAGGGCTCGGTGGTCTTTGTGCCTGACGGCCTGCTTTTGAAGAACCTCAATGCTCGGGAGGAGCGAAACGAAATCGCAGAGTGCAGGGGCCCCCCGAGTGGTCCCCGAAATTTTGGGCTTTGAGTGTTATTGAATTGCTGGTAAGTGGGTGTGCCTTTGCTAGGATTCGGACCCCCAAGACAGGTTTCCCTTTAAAGCCACAAACCAGCGGCACCGTTGGGCAACTAACCCCAACTACCCAAGTTTTAGTTGAGCATCTAAGACCCCCCTTCTATCGCTTTTGGAAAGGCAGCAAAGGAGTTGGAATGATCCGACCTACAAACTTGTGGTTTTCCCTTTGGCTTCCGCGTGGCACCCCCAAAAAGGGCACCCTCAAAACAACCCATACACGCCAAAGGGGGGATAGGCACAAAGTCCCCGCCAAGCTGCCAAACCGGTTCTCCAAATTCGACCCAAATGCTTGGCTTGCATACTCCAACCAAAGATTCCTTACCCTAATTGTCCTTTTTGAGTTTGTTTGGTTAGAAATGGATGTGGGTTCCACTGGTTTAGTTGGGTGTTATGCCCCTGTTACCAGCAAAGCCTATCTATTTTTTCGCAAGCTCACCCACACCCCACACCCCACACCCCACACCCCCACACCCCCACACCCCCACACCCCCACACCCCCACACCCCCACACCACCCCCCACACCACCCCCACACCACCCCCACACCCCCACACCCCCACACCCCCACACCCCCACACCCCCACACCCCCACACCCGCTCAACCTGGAGCTGCCTACAGGCATGTTCTCAGCCCATTCCTCCTCTTCTGCCAAGGCAAAGCCCTCAGCCTTCGGCCTCAGAACTAGGAACCCGTTTCTTCGCATGCCTGCCAGAACTCACTGGTTCTCAGAGTTCCTCTTCCTCATCTCCTCCTCTCCTGGCCACCACTGCCTCAAGCATTGCTTCTAGGCCTGGCTGCCACACATCCTTCACCCCCTCCTGCGCAAGTCTCTGCTGTCCTTCAAACCGGAGCTGGTCCATCTTCTGCCCCACCAGGTCCTTAAATGCCTTTGCAAAATCTGTATCGGTGAGTTGGAGGGCACTTGTCATTTTCCTTGCTATGACTTGCAGGATAGGCCTCACTCTGCCTGATAATGGACCAGAACATTATGATACTGTCTACATTGCTTGCGGATTGGCTCGAAATCTCCACCTGCTTCACCAACTCTGGTCTCCTTTCCCTAAGCTGCCTCCATCCCCACAGCGTTCTGCCTGCTGAGGCTCCCTTCCTTTGCTCATAGACAAAGGTCCTGGTTTCCTTCCAGCAGCCTGCCTCATCGATGTTTGCCAGCTCAGCATGCACGCCAGGAACGACCAGCAATCCAGGCAAGACCACTCCTGTGGGCTCCTTGCCCTGGTCAAAGTAGTTCAGCACCCCTTGTCAAGCTACCTTTGCTTGGCTCCTCACCACCTTCTGGTGCCTTTGGAACAATCTGAAGAGCTTTGTCCCGCAGAGCTTTCCTCATGCCTTCTCTCACTTGGGCCTGGCTCTTCGCAGCGTGCTCAAACTCAGCAAACAGCTGGCGCTTCGCCTCACTTTTTACCCACACGGGTACTTGGTCTGAAGCACCAATGAAGATCTTTCGCCTTCTCCCCACACCCCCACACCCCCACACCCCCACACCCCCACACCCCTACACCCCCACACCCCCACACCCCCACACCCCCACCCCCACACCTGGCCTGGCGCAGGAGAACCTGCTGGAGACCATGTTCGCCCAGATGGTGGAGGTGCATGCCGGCTCGAGTCTTGGCAAAACTTTGAGACCCCTCCGACTCACTTGGCTGTGTGGTGGTCAAAACCGTTTTGAGATCCCATTTTGGGGTAGGTGATTTTTTAGTCTATTGCCGGCAGGATCGGACTTCTGGTTTTCCCTTTTTGGGTTCAGCCACTTTTAGTGGCCCCTTTTTGTGAACCTTCTACTCCTGGGTCTCTTGATCTTGAGTCTCCTCGGCAGTCGAATGCTCGCTTGTCCAAGTGCCACACGGCATCGGCAAAGGCAGCTTTTCTGTCGGGGGAGGCTTTTAGGTGGGGCAACTGGGGTCAGTCTTTTTTCCCCCATACTTATGACCTATCTTCTAAGTGGGTTGACGTTTCCGCGTGTCAAACACCGATTGATTTTTCAGCCGGCTACCGAACCTCAAACATCCGAACGCCTTTCGACATGCACATCATAAACGTAAATTTGGAACGGTTTCAGATTGTAATTTGCCAGAAGTGTTCTTTTTCATCTTCAAAACTTTAAACTGTTAATATCGTTGCCATTCGGAATCCACTATCCACTGGATGGGAAAACAGAAGGGATACTGAAAGAGACGGGCGCCATTTTGGTCAAAGATTGTGCCGAAGAAGTCGCCTGACGTCCTCAACAAGTTGAGCTTATTGACTACCCCCCCAATGCTTTTTTCACTTCTGTTAAATCCACCCCTCTGAGGGTTGCGGGAGAATGTGGGGACACAGTTGGTTCCTTTTCGGTTTGTCAATCTCCTTATTTTCAGCGGCAAAGAATCGTCCAGGAGCCCTGGGGCTTGAGGTTTCGGGGGCGGGGGCGACTCCAGCTCGCCCAGAAGGTGCGTTGCAGGAGTCGGGAAGGAACAGAGCACCAGAGCGCCCACGTGCCCTGCGCCTTTTTTTTTGTGCCTTTCTCATTAGCGGGAGCGATTTCAGGCGGGAGAAAAGTCATTGGACCGCAGGTGGAATTCCCAGATGTGAAGCTTACGCGTCCCAAATCTCGAGGGACCCTTCTTGGAGGGTTCAAGAAAGGCAACTTAAATACAAGAAGCTGTGGTGAACATGTTGAGATCGCAGTTAGCAAAAACTGGATTCTTTTTTTTGTTTTAGAAATAAAATGGCTGTGGGTCAAAAACCAATGGTACCTTTTTGGGGTAGGTGAATTCACCACTCATTTTAGAACCTATTTTAGTGGGGATTGGGAACGATTTGGGTTTTGACCCATGGCCAAATCGCCGTGGCATGCTGCAGGAAGCGCAAGATCGCTTTCGACAGCTGGGCAGGCGCGAAGTTGCGATGCCGCCACCAGGCCCAATGTCTTGCCCCCGTTCCGAAAAGATGACCAATCCATGAGGCTGGAAGGATGGTGAATGCTTTCCCCTGATTTCCTTCACAAGCCAAGTGCTCTATCCTTGTGCCAGGGGCCTTCGGAGCAACCACTGGACCCATCCCCAAAGCCTGAAAAGAGCCCGCCTCTTGTTTTCTTTTTTTGAGGGAATGTGGGAGTGAACCCCATCTCAACCATCCCATTGTGGTTTCAGGGGCTTATAACCTTAAGCTGGATTTCTGCCATTTTCCCGGTGACCGACAAATAGCCATAGTTCCTTGCTCGGGATGTATTTGGCCAAGTGTTTAGGCATGACACCTGAGCGCATTTTGACAGCCGAAAACCCGCCAAATTCCAACTCCTTGGGCTGTACCATCTTTTGCGGAGCGTCTTCACGCTGTACGTGCCTTTCAAACATAGGCAGAATGAACATGACACAAACGAACGCAAGAACGCGCAAGCAAGCGAGCAGACTAGCCAATATACAAACAAGCAAACATGCAACTAAACAAAAGCGAGCAAAGAATGGACGCACAGAGACAGACAGACAGACGAACAGCCAGACAGACAGACAGAGGCAGAACAAGACACACACACACACACACAGCACAGACCCAGACAGACACAGGCACAGGCACAGACAGAAACACAGACACGGCGTAGACAGAGACAGAGACAGGGACGGTGACAAATGCAGACGCACATATGCAGGAACAAAGGCGCCAACGCAGCAAAGGCAAAGATCTACAAACACAAATACACAATACACAAATAAGGAAAGGAATAAATACAAAGAAGGAAATCAAGAGAAACAGTTGAAGAAAGAGATAAAGGAAGAACAATCTACATAAACAAGTGAATAAAGGCACAGATAGGGAACTCAAAATAAAGACACACACTGACAAAAACAAAGAACAACATAAATAAATGAATCCATCAATCGATAAAGAAGAAGAAGAAGGAAGGAATAAAAAAGGACACAAATAAATAAATAACAATACATAAACAAGCAATAAAGAAAAAACATAGCAGAAGACAAGGAAGACAGTAACACATGAATAACGAGAGGCAGTTCCAAACAGTGTCAGAAGTTCAACGGTCTGGACCCGAATCGAACCCTGCGTATACAAAGTGACCAACCCGGAAAGGACGTCAACATCCGATCTCTCAGTCAATTGCAGATGGCTGTGGGTCAAAACCAATGGTACCATTTTGGGGTAGGTGCACCACCCAATTTAGTATATTGTAGTGGGGATTGGGATGTTCACTGGGGGTACGATTTGGGTTTTGACCCATGGCCAGATCAGCCACAGCATGGGAGGGCCGAATTCAACCCTTGATGTTCGTGAGTGGGCCCTAATAGCCACTACTCTCCAGCGATGTCACGCAGCTCCAAATCGGATGAGTCAGAGTATCCCTTTTTCAGTCGAATGGCCAAATGACCAAACCTCCCTTTTGGCTTCCCAAGAGGACTTTGCCATTTTTGGAAGTTCCGTTCTCATCAACTGGGCTTTCTTTTGACATTATTTCACATGCCAATGTTCACTACAAAAGGGGTGGGGGTGGAGGGAACAAGCTGAGGTTGATTTTCAACATCGCCGATCCATGGTTTTCCTTACGGCGCAAGGTTTTCATGAGCATGACATTTAGGACATCGTTTACATAGGATTGATTCAAGCACTAAGCACCTTTGAGCAATTCATTTCAAGCTCACAGCTCAATTTGGTGCCCCAAAGCCACGTCCAGGGGCCCCAACTTCAAAGAAAACCGCCGGGTGATGCGCTGAGCGTCTTTCAGGGGGCCTGCAGATGCTGTGCCTGGAGTCTCAGCGCTCCAAGGTAGAGGCAGAGATCAAGAGCCTGGCGCCTCGCCGGATTTGCCTCGCGCCATGAGTGGTGCGCTACTTGCTTCACGCGCCATATGTGGGTTGTGTCAGTGTTGTTGTTGCGGTGGTTAGCACCCAAAGCACGGTCATTCTTTTTGCGGTCCCCTAAAGAACGACACAACAACATACCACCATGGCTGCGTATGAGTCCAGCACACCATATGAATATGGATCCGGATACCGTTACATTGCAGTAAGTTCTTATCTCAGTTTGCCCTCTGCAAGAACCAGGGGTTCACCCCCGGAGGCCTGAAAAAATCCAACTACCGACATGGGAGTTGCTCGCACTGGACTGCGGATCTGGAACCTGGCCAGCTCCAGGGCTCCATTCTGCAGGGGGGCTCTGCATTTCCCGTTTTGATTTTGAGCACGACCTTCTCAGCCAATGGTAAGGTGAGTTTCCCACGGGAGGGGGAAGCACACTTCCTCCTAACATGGCACCTGAGGGAGGGTTCCTGAAAGATCATTTATCCCACTTGGAGGGCCCCCCTGTCAGCTAGTGGGAGAGAGGGTATAGGGAACCCTGCTTTGACGATGGCATCGATTTTCTCACGGCGCCCGAGGACAGCGTGGGGCTCACGTTGCGCTCCTGGCGCGAGCGGGCGGCGAAGCTCTTCAACCACAACCGCCTGGGCAATCTCTGCGAGAGGCGATGCTTCGTTTCGGCCGAAACCCTGCGAATTTCGCCCGAAACCGAAAACTCCCCCGAGCTTTGCACTGGAAAAAGGAGAAAAGAGGTGGCTGATTTGGCAGGCTTGTAAATCCTTTTGAGCTTATCGGTGAAGTCTGGCAAGTGTTCTTTTGGATTTTCGGGGACGGCGTGATTGCTTTCCAAGAATTGCTCTCCGGAGTGGTTGCACAAAGCTCTTTTGAACAACCCCTTCCTCTTTCCTCTTTTTTCCGGGACCCTAGAGCCCAAAAGGGGTCTTCCGAGCCCTAAACCGATCCATTTCGGGGGCTCTGGGAATGGCACCCTTTGGATGGGGCAGGTGATTAGCATTCTGATCAATATTGCAGACGGGAAGTTTTGCTCCCTTTGGCGACCTGAAGGCACCTCTGGGGCATTTGGTATGGCCGCTTCACATTTTTGAAGAAGTGGTAGCTGTACGTACCAACTACAAAATGGTAGGACGGGCCGTGAAAGATTCGGGGCCCAAGGGTCTACGAGTTTTCTTTGGAGCCAGTATAGGATTGCTTGCTTGTTATATTTAGCACCACGCAGTATGACCCATTCGGGGGGGGGTGGGGGACGCACTCAACCGGCGAGCCCATTCTTGCATGCCCATTCAGGGTAACAAAGGCATTCGGAAACGTGGCGATCTCTGGATCCCGAGACCCTGCTTTTTAAAACACCTGAAATTTGACCTCCATTTTTATCATCAGTCCAAACCACCAATCCAAGGGAAGCCGATTTTTCCTATTTGTTGGCCCCAAACAAATCAGACCCACCCTTAACCCCGTTGCTTGGCCTTCACTTGGGACCATATTCACATCGAGCCAGGTTCATCGACCGCCTGGAGGACGCCTATGGGCTCTTAGGTCACCAGAATGGCAACAGCCTGCTGCAGACCCGGCAGAAAGACCTGGAGGAGCCAGCTAGCGTTGGGAGAGGGCTTGGTGACTTGGTCCTGTTCCGATCTTGAACCTTGGAACCCCCCCAAACCGCAGAAGCCCCCAAACCCACTCAACTGGGAATGGATATCTTGGGACTTCGGGTCGGCATAGGGACTTGACACCAAGATTGGAGCCCTCCAGGGAAGCTGATCAGAGGGTTTTGGAAGAGGGGTGCCTGAGGGGGCCACCAAGGGGAAGCAGGGTGTCCGAGAGGTTTCCGAGCCACTTTGCAACTTTTGGAGGGAAGATCCAGTGACCCCTACTTGCGTTTTGGGGAAGGTTCCTGTCCACTTGGCAAGCAGGGGACCGGATTTCGAATTTCCTGCGTCTTTTTGGGATGCTGTGGAGCCCTGGCTACGAAGATGGACCCCGAAAGAGGGAACCGAACATAACCCTGTTAAGGGTTTCTACCTGTCTCCAAGATCCTTCAGATGCACGTCACTGCGCTCGTCATTTTGGGGTCGGGTTGAGACTGACAACAAGGCTGGCATGTACCCGGGAAGCTTCGGTGCACTGTGCCACACCTTGAGCTTTCTTGTCACGCTGCCCTGTTCGCTGAACCCAGCCGCTGCGAAGGTCAATGCACAAGCTTTCCGAGACGCTGTCGGTTTCCAGTTGCCACGAAGATCGACGTACATATGTCGCTTTTTATCGGGGGGGGGGGGTGCTCTTTTCAGAGGTGGATTTTGCTTGGACGTTAGGATTCTAACTTTTTGCCAGCTAGTGGGTTTTCCGTATTAAACCACTAAAAGCTAAAACCTTTTAGCAGGGCAGCAGAAAGCAACGGAGTTTTCAGGGCGGTTTAGCGGGAAACGCAAAGGAACACCTGAGCCACAATCACAACCCGGGCAGATGAAGGTTAGTAAGGGACAGTCCCAACCATAAATAGCTGCGGCCGCCCTCCTTAATTCTTTACATGGTTCTGGGTCGACCATTTTAGTACCGGGTTTTGATTGTGACTCACCTTGGGATTCCGGCATTCGGGTCAGGATCTGAAGCTCTTCTGCGCGGAGTCCTTGAACAAGCTTCTGAACCACGAGCGTTTTGGCGTGTGAAAGGTTTGGCTCCAGTGAAGAAATAGCGCCGGTGTGGTTTTGAGGGTGAGAGGGTCGATTTTTCTCAGGGTTTATTCCCCATTCTTTTCAAGCATCGTTCTTTTTGGAGGTTTTCTAGAAAGAAGGATCCCTCGAAAGAATGGGGAAGGTAGCACTTGATTTTTTTGGGTTGCTTCAGTGGAAGGTTGGTTAAGGGATCATGCTGGCTTAGGGTTTAGGCTTTCCCTCAAGCGAACTCCTTATGAATAGATGAGATGCTTTAGGTTGGGATGGCTTTAGGTTGGTCAAGAGTTGGTGGTTGTGAGGTGGGTAAAGGATTAGGGTGCGTGCAGGGTTTGTGTCAGGGATCTCGGGTTTGGATTTGTTCAGTTTGTTCCTGTCCCACCTACAACTCGGTGATGGGTTTCCCTTTCATCCCGGACGAATGTGAACCGTTTGTTCGGACACCCGACCAACTCATGCCTCAAGTTTCGAGTTTCAGACCCCAGGACACGATTTTCCTCTGGAGAGGCTTGGCTCCCATGCCCTAAACCCCTGCTTTCTCGGGTGCTCTGAGCCAAGTTGATGTGAGTTTCCTGTTGTTGGGATGATGTTGAAAAGGGACATCTGGTGATGTTTTTGGTGGGAAGAATTGGGAAGCCCTGCGGTTTGTGGGTGGGCTTGTGTGTTCGCAGCCTCTCCGTGTCACAAAGAGAAACACACGGACAGTTTTTTTTTTTTTGCCCGCGAGGGGTTTGTCAACAATGGTTTTGAAGCTACAAAGCTCTACTGCTATTGGGGAGGATCTTTGGACTTTAACTTTTTGGATTCCCCTCATATTTCCTTTTAACTAGCAACACGTTTTTTTCAAGTTGTTTTTTGTTTTTTTCTGCTGCGGGATCTACAGCACCCAAGGAAGAAGGGTTGCCTTTTGTTGTTATGTTCCGATTTGTCGACATCTTTTCGAAAACCCGCAAAGCGCGCGATGTTTGCTCAGGTTCCGGGTGGAGGAGCTGCAGGACCAGGGTTGATTCGGGCTCAGAGTTCGCAGCTTCTCAGCTTCTGCGCATTGCTTGTGTGTTTTTCAAATGAGGTGGGTGCTTTGTTTGCTTGGTGCTTGGTTTTCTTTGGAGGCTTACTAGGCTGGTCTCGGACACCAAAAGGAAGCCCGAAGTCAGTTGGGTTCAACCCCCTTTGACGCCTGCAGAGTCGGAGTTTTAACCACCCTTCGGAATTTCATTTCCCGCTGACTTTTGGATTTTAATGTGTGGTTTCGGGGCTTGAAGCCCTGGTGGGTGGGTGAATGGGCTTTCTCAGCCCGAAAGTTCCACCAATAACCAGCTAAGAGCCTGGACACTTTGGGAAGGCTGAGGCAGCCAGGATGACCCCGCCCTGGTGTTTTTTTTTGTGGATATGGGTATGGGTCAAAATCAAACCATGAGGGGACGACAGGCTTTAGTCTTTGGTTCCATTTACCAGGGCCCGCCATTTTGGGTGCGCATTTTTGACCCACAGCCATATAAGGGACGGTGCGGTTCCTCTTGCTTCAAAATGGGTTTCGGGGGGAGGGGGGGTTGCAGCCTAATCAAAGATACACGCGTAGAATATATGCAACAAATGAGAGGAGTTTGTTTTTGAACAACATCAAATGAATTTATCCGTGTATTCTATTTGCTGGTCCACTGTCAGACTTCCGTGAACCGTATCCGCAAGAATGATTGTGGCCGATTTAAGCGAGCTCCCAAAATCCTTGCGTTTCAAAGGCTGCATGCGGAAGCCTAAGAAGCCAAAAGTCCAGGGGTTGATTCCCATTCTTTCCAACCATAGTTCTTTTCAAGAACCAGCCGCTTTCCCTGCGTTTCCAGACACCCCTAGAAAAAGGTGAACTGGCCACTCCGTGCGGGAACGCTGTGCGAGCCGCCCCTTTTGGGGAGCTCGCGGGCTCGGAGGTTCAACCCACAAGGGATGGTCTGTGGGCGTCATTCCCCTGTTCTCTACTAAGAACCGGCGAGAAATGTGGAGGCGTCGGTTTCCCTTAAATACTATCAACAGGGGGTGGGCATTTTGTTTCGCCTGAAAAGCACGGGAATATACCCAGGGTAGCTGGTTCAGTTCCCTTCAGTTCCGGTTCTAATTTGCTAGCCGGGGTTGACAATCCAAGTAGCGGGTTTTGAGTTTTGAGCCCCCTTTTACAGATCACCCTGCCCATTCTACTGGCCTCACCATTTTACCATCATCAAAGTCACACAAGGGGTATGTTAAAGGGAAACAACCAACTCCAGTTGGCTTTGTGTCTCAAAGTCGAGGAACCCCAAAAATGACTGGTTTCCTTTCGGTTTCCCCGTACCAAGAAAAAAAGCAGGGGTGCCCTCAAAACATCGATGACTTTGACCCGAGTCAGTCGGTTTCCCTTTTCCCTTTAACCCGAAAGCCTTGCTGGTGCTCAGCAGGACATGAGAGAATGAGACCATTGGCTTTTGTTCGGGGTCCTTCCAGGTCAATCATTTTTTTGAAGCTTCCCTTAAACCACCAATGGGCTTAAATCGAGGTCATTCCATTTCAATCATTTTTTAGGCGAAGCTTTGACTCCTGGATCTCACTTGGGCAACTTCCATTTCTCATTTTTTTAAGCTTTGACTTCTGGATCTGGGCCAGCTGAGAAGCCGCCAGGACTCCATGCTGTGCCTGGGCCGGGAGATCGCGGACTACAAGCGCATCTCCGGGCTGGGCGCCAGCGATGGCGAGCGCGAGGGCTCCGAAAGCGATGAGAAGCCGCTCGGCGCCGGGGTCGGCCCCAGTTGTGGGGGATGCAGACCCTGTACCATCCAAGCTCTTTGGTTGTGGGTTATGTACCCCTATTGTCCTTTTGACAGCGGTCTCGTGGCCACTTACAAAGCACCCAACATGGGTAGGTGGATCTGCTTCGTTGATAGAGGAGATACTAGTAAAACCCGACTACCCCCTTTGCAAAGAAGTTTTTGTTTGGGAAAGGGTTCTTGGCCAACCTTGTCAGGAGGGTCAACCCATACCATCATCTTGCTGGAACCGCAAGTCAGCAGGGTTTGGCACCTCGCTGAATTCCATTGTGGGAACTGGGGCGCGTTTTTGGGTTAGCCGTCATACAGGGGGCACCCCCCTGTGACAAGATATCGGGATAGCCAAGTTTGGCACAGAAAGGTGATTATTTTCCGCAACCATGGACAATACTAGCAGGATATCAGTGTTCTTTGTGGATTCCCTTCCGTTTGCAGGTTAGGTATCGGTTTGGCCAAACAATACTATAGCAGGATATCGGTGTTTTTTTGTGTGGATCAAGCCGATCGCGAATCGCATCTGAAGGCCAGATCTCGCCTTCTACGTGGGGCGACTCGTCTGCCAAAGTTTTGTGAGAAGAATCAGATCAAGATTTCTCGAGGCATTTGGTACCCCAATCAGTTTCAGGGGAACAAGGGCACCTACCCGTGTTTTGGTTGGACCGCAGGCGTCCTTGTTAGGTCAGCTTGCTTGAAAACAGATAGCGTCTACAGGCAAACTGGGCGCTGCTCAACTTGGTTTCGAACATCACCTGTTTGTTTGGCCTTTTGGCGCGTTAGGGTGATGCTTTAGGTTGGAAATCTGGGAATCGTGAAATCCCCCCCCGGCAAAACGGCGCAATGGTGTTTCCTCTTTGTTTCCCTTTAAACCAGGTGAACATGAGTACCAACTCAAAAAGACCCGCCAAGAGGGGGGGGGTTGTCTCAAAATAGAATGTGGAGCCCCCATTTTTTGTGTTTCCTATTGGTTTCCCTATATCCCCAAAATGGTACCAATTTAAAAAGTTCTGCAATTGGTTGCGCAGGGTTTCCTCTTCCCGATTTGGTTCAGTGGAAACCAGCGGAGAAAAACAGAACCACTGGACAAATCCTTGATTGCGATTCGGTTGGATCTTTAGGCTTTAACTTTTCGGTTGACATCTTTCGGGTGTTCCGCATTGAACCCACAAGTGAAAGACACTTTTTGCAGAGCGGTCGTTACCAGCAACCACTGAAAAGCAGAAAAAGCAGAACTCCCGAAAAAAATCCCACACGGCTCGCTGGCGAAAGCCCAAGCCACTGGAGAAAGAAAGAGAACCCGACGACTGAAGGGGAAAGAGTCGGATCCATCTCCACGCTCGCGCCGTTGGAGCCCTGAGGGAGATGGAGCTGGGGGATAGCGCCGCAGTCCTGGTGGAGCGCAGCAACGCGGAGGAGGTGAAGCACCTGCGAGAAGAGGCGGCAAAGTTTTTCGTCTTCTTCGGGGCCGAAAGGGGGTCTCAAGCTTTTACTACACAACATCAATCGTAGATTTATCTGGGTATGGGTCAAAATGAAGCTACCAGGATATGGACCGCAGGTTTGAGTCCTTGGTTCCATTTACCAGGGCAAGCCATTTTGGGGTTGCCCTATTTTTGACCCACAGCCATCTATCAATCGTATTCTTTTCTCGTTGAGTTTGTTCAAAATAGAGTCGACCCTTGTGGGTTTGGACGATTTTAGCGGTAAGCAGAAGGTTCCTGCCTTCAACATGTTTTTTTTGTTTATTTTCCCCCACGTGACATAAGTTCCCGGCAGAAGCCATGCATGAGGGCCCTTGAAAAGTCGGGGTTCTCCATTGGAGGGTCCGCGGGTCTGCGTTGGAGGGGTCGTGACCCGTAGGGCAGTATGATTTTTTTGGTCGAACGAGAAGGACTCCTGGCCAGGTCGAAATGGGGCCAAGGGACGCCACCTGTCGTCCCTTGAAACATCACCTGTTGGACAAGCGCCTCAAAGTGGCCAAAAGGTGATGTCGAAAGCAGAACACTAGAACCACGGGTGGCCCGAAAGCAGAGTGGAAAGTGAGTGCTGCTCCTGTGCAAGTGCTCGGCCCAAGAGTTCAGTGCAAGTTGCTCTGTGCAAGCACTCTGCGCAATGCTGCGCAAGCTCGGATTAGTTTCGAGCGGTTCTCTGACGCGAGTTCGCGCGCGCAGCGCTAAACACAGCAACCTTGCGACGTGATTACTTTTGATCCGGACCTGCGAAGTACACTTCGCGTAATACTTTCGTAGTTTAAAGTTGCGATCTGCCAGCCGAAGGCTTCTGAAAGTGTACTTCGTGCATTGAAGTTGCGATCTTCCCAGCTGGAGCCTTCTGAAAGTGTACTTCGCGTGCTACTTTCGTGCTTGAAAGTTGCGATCTTCCCAGCCGAAGCTGCAAAAGTGCACTTGGCGAGCTGGCGAGCTACTTTCTCGCTGCTGCCTTTCTAACTTAGAAGCCGCGGTCGATGTGCGGAAACTCATTTTATTCGTTTTTACGATTTCTGTGGTGCGCGCGCGACTCTCTTCGCCAATAGCGAGCAGCCCCGGGCTCGAATCCTGCTTGGTCTCAGAGCGCGCACCGCAGAAATCGTAAAAACAAACCCACAGTTTTTGCGCATTGACCATGCCAATTCCTTGCGTACGCACCGCAGAAATCGCAAAAAGTCCCCAGTTTTTCCGTGCGAGTTCGGCCGTGCGATAAGTTGGCTCGTGCAAGTTGGCTCGCGCAAATTGGCTCGTGCAAGTTTGGCCGCGTGATAAGTTGGCTCGTGCAAGTTTGGCTGTGTGATAAGGCTGGCGATTTTACCGGAATCGGGAAAAGGACCATGCTGGGCCTCTGTATGGTGTTGAGACTTGGGATCCCGAAACCGAAAGCTCGCAGGTGCAGGACCGACTGGTGGAGTGTGGCTTGGCAGCGGTGAACATCGCTCTCGGGATCCCCCGACTTTGAGATAAACCAAGTTCTTGAAGCGCGCACCCAGTGAAAGCCTTGTTTTGTGGCTGGCACCCCGTTTCTAATGAACAAGTTGCTTTTACAGTGTTTTGCAAGCATTGAAGCTGTAAGACTACATCCCTGTAAGCACCCCTCCTGTTTCTAAACCCATTTCTGTTTGGTGGGTTCGGGACAAACCGAAAAAGGGATCCACACACTTCGGGAACCAGATTTATCAGTGGGAGATATCTGGGAGAAATACCTCCTTTTGGTTTCTCAGACGGATGTCCAAATGCTTGCTTGCAAGAAGGTTTGTTTTTAATGTGTTTTTCCTTTGTTGGTCTATCTATGAGTCATCAAGTTGGAATCGGCACCTAAAGGGGTTCCGCTTTTCTACCAGGGTCGCATGGCAATTGGGACAGGGTTAGCATGCGAGAAACATGTTCATGCTGAGCCAGGCTTCAGATATTCGGAAAATCTGAGTTGCTCCGCAAGCATTCCTTGTGACAATTGGGGTGGTGATGTGGTTTGAGCATTTGGTTGGACGCTTGCCAAGGCTTGGCCAGTCTTGGTAGAACCAAATCACCTGAAAGGATCTTGTCGAGCAGGGACTGTGGGAGCACACGGTTTTCATTGTTTGGCCAATCCGCACGTTTGTATTTGTAGCTGTTTGTGGCCGGCCAACCACACTGCGCTACAACTTGTTTTTGCCAGACAATGATGGACATCTATGATACATGTGTTTCAAAACCAAAGAAGATGCGATAGGCATATGCGGGCAATGTAGCAAACTATGCATAGACGTATGCTTGAAGCTTGTTGTGCGCTTGCTATTAATGTTCTGGACATGTGAAAGGACCATGTCAATGATATGCTACGCATACACACTAAATGCAGCAGAACTATGCTGAACTGGATATAATATGTAGTGACGATGCCACTAAAACACCTTCGCTAGACATATGCTAAACATTTAGTTTGACTATGCTGACCATGTGCTGAAGGCAAGATGCTTGTGCTAGGAATATGCACACATATGCTAGACTTATGCAAGACATACAGGACGTCGTTGCCAGACTTGTCCGTCGTGTTGGAACAAACACATACCAGCTTGACTAATTCTAAAAGTGTGCTAGAGACAAATGCGGGGCAGATTCTGTAAGAATGCTAGACATGTGGGAATATTCTAGTAGTATTTGCGCCGACATGCATGACATATTCAGCTGGACATAGGCTAAGAAATAAAAGCATATGCTGCAGCTTGCTGGACATCTAGTACGACAATCAAATTTAGTACAGATACTAGAGCCCAGGTTGTTCTTCCTTGGTTTGGCTGTGGGGTGTTTCCCAGTGTGGGGGAAGGTGGGAGGGGTTGTCGGTCGGTCAGGCGATCGGTCGCTGGGTACGCGGGTCACCCTGCACCCACCCTAAGCCTGCCATAAACTCACTTGAACCAACCCTCCAAGCTTATCCTGACCCCACCCTTTCCTGCCCTTCACTCACCTAAACCTGCCTAAGCCCAGAATCCATCCTGAACCCACCCTTAACTTAACCCACCCATGCCTACCCTCGCCTCAAACCTCAACCTACCATAAACCCGCCCAACCCTGAACTGAAAACCGGACCCAAACCCACCTTATACCCACGCGAAAGCTACCCAATAACCTAGCCCAAACTTTACCATCCTGAAATCGACCCAAAACCCATCCTAGCCCCCACCCAAAATTCCATACGACTAGGGATCACATCCGTACATTTGTCTTAAAAGGTCTTAAAATGATCGCCCTGCATAGCCTCATTCGCTGTGTTGCACTTTGTTTTTGCGTGTTTTGGCCGTCAGGGTTTGGACATCACCTAGGTCCTAAAGTGAGCTTCCAGAATCCAGTCATGTTCAGGAAATGGTGCGTGTGAGTGTGTGTGTGTGTGTGTTCGTTTTTTTGGGGGGTATCCTTTGTGACAGAACAAAAACGAACCCCACCCTTTGTGGTCCCAAAGAGTATCCGCTTATGGGCTTTCTTGGTGGGTATCCTTGGCGGCTTGGCTTAAAGGGAGCAAAGGAACACCCGCAGTGTCCTGGAGGCCACGAGCTGCGTCGCCAGCTCGCGACTATACGCCGGGACCTCACCGTCAACAGGCTCCCGGGGGGGGTCCGTTGGAGGTCGGCGGACCCAAAGAAACGTGCGGTGCTCAAAACGGGCGGTGCTTCCAAAATGGGGCAGGTTGTTTGGGCCGGTTCCATGCAACATTGGCTTTGGTTGTCCTTTTGCCTCTAAACCCTTCCGGGTACGGAGCCGCAACAACACACCCGTTTGGATTCAAGAGGAACATTTGGGAATCAGCCTGATTCTCTTAAACAATAAAGCAAGCCACAAGGGATTCAATGGGAACAGAGGCTTAGTGAAGGCTTCCTGGATGATTGTGTAGAATCCTTGAATGTCTCATGAAAAGTGGGAATCGGGATCGCTTTCTGTGGAAACCTTTTGATCCAGCGAGTCGATTGATCCGTGGTCGAACGCTTGGGGAGCTACCCAGGAACCACCCTTTCGACTGAGGGTGTGGGCCCTAATGAGCCTGTTTGGTCTTTCTTATTTTTGTCAAGGGAGTAGAAAACCCTTGTCAGGCCCCTTTCAAGTGATCGGAGTCATTCTTGGCGGCCGCTCTTGCTTCACTTCACCGTTGGCGTCTTTGAGCAAACCCCGGGCAAAATGAGACCGAAGAAGTCCACAGTTAACAGACCACTCCTAGACCAACAGTCGCAAAAACTTGGGGTAATTGGAGGGTAAGGGGCAACCCCAGCCATGAATGGGTGCGGATGCCTGCTTTGTGAATTCAACGCACGGTTCTGGGTAGACCACTTTAATGCCGGGCTTTGATTGTGGCTCACATGACGCCTCGAACATGATCAAAGAAAGCGACGCCACAACTCCTGCACGTGACTCCGTACGATTGCAGGGGCGGAGCTGGCTGAACTTCAATCGCAACAAATCCAAGGGGGCGCACCCTCCTTGCGCCGCATAGACCCTACTGCTCTACCAAAGGCTTACCTATTTGGCGCTTTGATGTTCCTTGGTTTTCCCTTCCACCATTTTGCCAGTTCGCTATTGCTTTTCCCCTTGTGCTTAGTTCCTTGATAGTGTGTTTCCTTTGGCTTGTTCCGACATCCCTCGGGGCAGGAACCGAAGCAGGACCTCCCTCATCGCGCAGGTGGGGTGTTGGGTAGATCTTGGGTGGTTACTTGCAGTTTGTTGCACGAAGATGCAGATATTTGTTGCCTGCTGGGTTTTGCGAAAAACTGGATCAATCAAGCTGAAGATAGGCTCAACTTTGTATCAACCACCCTTACCGCGTAACCCTCACAGCGCACGCCAGATTCTTTCGGGGTAGATGCATCATCGTTTTTGCCTGCAACGCTTCAACTCAGCGACTCTACGATCCACCTGCTTGGGGGGGAGGGGGGAGTTTTTTGAGTTCAAACGAACCAACTCCAAGGTCTCGGTTTGCATCTCCAAAGAAGTATATAATTCGATGACAAGGTATCTTCCGAACTGAAGGTGATGTTGGTGCGTTGGCTTCCCTGTCATTCATTGAGCCACTTGCTCAAATCCGGTACGGTTACATGAACATTTGTAGGCATAGTCCCAACCATCGCCGCTCTTTCAAGTCTTTACCTGGTGCTGCGTGGACCATTTTGCTTCCAGGTTTTGATGACTCAGTGGAGGAAGACTTTGGACTTTTGCCGGGGTTGGTGCGTGGAGAAATCTCTCAAATTCAAATGTGGCACCCAGAAGCCGGCCGACTGCCGGGTTTTGGATGCCACTGGGGCACGTAAGGCTTCGACTTTGGTTCGCAGAGCTTCCAGGTCTCTGGCTTGGGGCTATGGCGAGCTCGTTTTGCTTTTGCGCTCGAAGAGCTCAGGGAATCCCTCAGTTTGAAATCACCTTAGCCTGTTTTTGAGGGCCTGATGGCCTTTCTTGCCATGAAGCCCCAGGCGGGAGTCCATACAAAACGCACAGGGCCCTCGAGATCGAGCTTCGGCGAGCCGCACGAAGAAAGCACGGAGCCCCTGAGAACAAAACGCATCGGAAAGCAGCCAATCGCCTGGATTTGCTTCACAGGAGGGGAACGTTCAAACAACTTGTTCTTTTCTCTTTCTGTGGTGGTGGTGGTGGTGGTGGTGGTGGTGGTGGTGGTGGTGGTGGTGGTGGTGGGAAGCCTTGGGGCGAGCGGGCCCTTCGTATAGATCTGGAATAAGCAGCTCACCGGGCGGGGTTTCGGTCCACTGGCATGACAGAAAAACACATGTTTTGTACCTCCTGAATGGTGGTTCAAAGGGAAGTTCCCCCGCAAAAAACATCTTGAGAAGCCTTCAAACGGTCGCGTTAAGATGGCCCCACCCATTTCAGGATGCTTTATTTCCGCAGAACTTGCGTTTGTTTTCCTTTTTTTTCCGGCAGGGGAGCATCATGAGCCAGATGGAGGATTACGAGCCGGGGCCTCGGGGCAAGGACGCTGACAGATGGCCAAGTATCTGAGCTTCATACTTTTTGGTCGGAGCCATTCGAGTGGGCAAGAGCACCTTTAAGACCATGAGTCGGACAAAAAACACACACCCCATCATTTCAATCGCTGCTTTCTGCTGGGTTGTAGTTGGAGCGCTATGAACTCAGTGCCTGAGTTCATGGACTGTAAAAGTTTTTGGGACGACCACTCTCGAGCGGTGAACACACAGTTTGGACTTTTTCTGACCCATCCACTTGGCTCGGTAGAACACCTGGGATCTGGGCGAAGCTTGTGATTTGTGGGATCCGAGGCGCGAGGAAGAGGACCTGGAGACGAAGCTGCAGGAGCAGGCGGGTTGGGTTGGCGTCGATATCCCGGTGGTTTGGCTTCGAATTTGCATTTGAAGGGTCAGTTGGAGCAACCCCAGGATCAGGCGACTCGCCCGTGGTGATTTGACTTGGATTTGTTGCTCTGTTGCTCTGTTGGGCTAGTTGGGCTGTTTGGGCGGTAATTGGCTGTAGGGTTTAGGGCCAACAACGTCTTGGTTGGCCTGTTGGGCTAATGGAATTTGCATTTCAAGGGTCAGTTGGACCAGCCTGAGGATCAGGCACCTGATTTGAATTGGATTTAAAGCCTTGGTTCTTCAGGGTAGATGTGAAAGTCTAGCTGAAGCTTCAAACCACCAATGAGAAACAAATAGAGGAAAGCTGAAGAATGGTGGTGAGTCCACGATGTTTTTTCTTTCTTTTTTTTCTTCGCCCATTGTGTTGGTTGCGAGAATTGGGTTTTGGGGGGTACCCTTTTCCTGGTGTAGCAAGGAACCCAAAAGGAAGCCACCCACTTTTTCGGGGCCATTTGGAGCCATACCCGTGGTTTGAAGACAAGCCCAAAAGGAGAGACGCAAATGCCTCCTTCTTTCGAGAAACATCCATGTACCTGGGACAAATTCCGGCCCCCAGCCAAAACTTGAAACTTTCTGGCGGAAAAGGAGCGTGAAGAAAAAGAACACCCAAAAGGTCAAGAGCCTAGTCTGGCAAGGCCGATCTCCATTTAATCGGACTGTACTGTGGTTGAAAATCTCGTGGGTCTGCCTAGCCAGAGGCCAGTCTCCGGCCATCTCTCCTTGTTGCATGTTTGAACCACTGTTTCAACCAACTCATGTTGGTTTTCCGAGTCGAATCGGTTTGGATTATGAGAAACGTTCATATCAGAAAGCGAAAACGCGAGCTGAAACGGGTAACTTGCGCCCATACTGTGGATGGACGAACTCCATTTTGCAGCACGGAATGAAACCCTGGTTTCTGAGGAATCCGCAACGTAAATGCTAGCAAACCTTGCTGGTTTTTCAACCATGGAGACCTTGTCGTGGTGGAGAAAGATGGATTCCGTCCGCATTCGCCTGGCCGCCCAAGTCCCATGTTTTGAAATCCGGAACTGAGGCCAAGGAGGCCCAAAGATTGCGAGAGGAGCTGGAGGCGCGAGCGAGGTTTTGCCGCCGATTTTTGCGGCGCGCGGTTTTTTTTGCTCGGATTTGGACCGCTGAAATGGAGATTTTTTTCTTTTGGTGTTCCTTGAAAGCTGGAAAAAACACAAAGGGCTCGCAAAAAAATCTCGGCTGAGCCCTCACCGAACAAACTCACAACCGCGAGCAGTTGAGAGCTTTGGGTTCTACAACCAGAAGAAGACCCTGCCGTTTGTGGCTTCCGGTTGGCTCACTTGAGCATTTTCTAGAATAAATCCCACGTCCAATGCACCTACAATGCAGAAGACCAAGGGTGGCAATGCGAAAGATGATGCAATTCTGGGTGGCTCGTTTGTTTTTAGGATTTGGACCCAAAAAAATGGGTTGGTGTTCTTTTTGTTTTCCTTTGAAACCACCATTTACAGGGGTACTGTCAAGAACGAGGACACACCCGTCTTTTCGGAGATTCCCCAACTTGGTACAGAAAGTAGGGCTCTTCTTCTGGTCCATGAAGGTGACATCTTCAAACATAGCCTCTAGCTGATGGTTTGAAGATGGTCACCTTGGTGCGACAGGTAGGGGTTTTGAGTTTTGACCTCCTCATGGTTGCTGTTGGGAAATATCTTATTGTGGTTTAGTGGGAAATCCCCACTTAACTGCTAAGATTTAAATTTTTTGCTCCCCTTCCAACGTCAACCAAATTCGTCCGGGTGAATGAAATGGGAAATAAACCGGAGTTTGAAGGCGATTTTGTGAGCCTAACGACCCCAGGCTGACTTCTGGCCCTCTCGAGGCCTCTCTGGAGAGTCGCGACGGGCCAACCCTTCGGAGCGGAGAACTTCGGGGGGGTTGGTCTCCCACATGTCTTGCCCACCCGCGGCGAGGCGTTCAACATGGCGGAGAACCTTCCAAAGTTCTCCCTGGGTTCAAAACTTGGTTTCTCTGGGCCGTTTACATGGACTTGAGTCTCACTTTTTTTCGGGCTTGGGCCATTTTTCGCGGCCAGGCCGCAGTTTGGCGACTTTGTTCCTTCTTTGTTTTTCTTTTTCCGGCCCGTCCACCTCGGAGGTGAGGTTTTTCGGGGGGGGGCCCAGTTGAATTCCTTCTCCAGGCGAAGCTGGCGGCGGCGGAAGGGACCGCTGCGGAGCTGGAGCAGAAGTCGCTGGGCTGAAACCGGGACGTGGCCCTGGTCTTGTCCAAACCGTTTTGGGATCAGCTTCCCTTGAACTGGTGACTTGTTTTGGTCCTTTCCACGTCCAGCATGGCTGTGGGTCAAGAGTCAAAACCGTTTTGGGACCCCAGTTTGGTAGGTGAACTCGCCACCCATTTTTAGTCGCGACTTTAGTGGTTGGATTGAATCGGATGTTCCCTGGCCGCGTGAGCTTTCGATCTGAGGCCTTTGGGCTTCCCGCTTGGTTTCTGGCTCAAAGAAGCCCGGGCATCCGGTTCTTTTCCTTGGCTTTTGAGATCTTTTTCGTTGGCTCAGTGGTTGGGTGGCCGTTTTTTCACCCACTTGAACTTTTAGCAGATCCGAGGACATCCACTTTTGCTGCGGGACCTGCGGCGCCCTGTTGCCTTTCTTTGGGAAGGGTGTCTTTATCATAGGTGTCATATGTTTGGTTAGTTTGGATGGAAATAGCGGCTGGTTGGTGAAATTACTGGTTGCAATATCCATTGCCATCTATTTTCCCACAAGCACTGACCTTGTGAAGTTCCATTTTTTGGTTTCCACTTGCGAGGGTTCCGAATGGTGACCACCGTTTATTTCCAGGTTTGGGCAAGAGAGCTTTACCTTGCCCTTCAGGTTGACCTCGGATCTAAGCAAAACAGCCTAGGGGGGACAAACCCTCAAACAGTGGGTCCGAATCCCGAGCTTGACCAGGGACACCCCCCGATTTCTCACTATCAATCCGAGGCCTGCTGGTTTTTTGATAGGGACAGCGGGGGTTCAGTTGAGGCGAGTTGACTCATGTTCCGCTGATTCACCCAGCCCGAGGTTCTCCACACTCTCGGGAGGCCTTTAGCAGCCCAAAAGCAACAAGTGTCCGTTCTCCCCCCCCCCGACCAAAGAAAAACATACACCATACAAACAAACAACACGTATATACATATATATGTATACACATATGTATATGTTCCAGTTCCGAGGGGGGGAGGAGGGGTTGGGTGGGGGGGGAGGTCCACGGCCTTGTGTATATGCTCCACCCCCCAACCATCCAGAACTTCTAGGTGTGGATCATGGGGTGGGTGGGTGACCATATATATATATATACATGGTTCCGCGACGGTTTCGGATCCGCGAGCAATACATATATATATATATAGATGTATGTGTATATATATATATATATGTGTTGAAACAACCACGCCAAAAACTGGGTGTCCGGGTTGAACATAGGCTGGAGGAGTCCAAGGAGGAGGCCGCCGAGGCGCATGGATTCGCTTCGGTCTACCCTGAAACCCGGGCTGCTTGTGGTAACCTCCCCATGGCTCGTGTGTCCTTTTGTGGCTGCGGATTTGCTTTGCCTTGAACAACAGTTAAAACGGATTGAAACGCCTTTTGTTGGTGGCTGCCCCACTAGAAATGGTCTTCCCCAAAAAGGGTTCCCTTTTTTTCTCCAGGGTCACTGAACAACTGAGTTTAAAACGGTTTGAAACGTGGGTTGCCTTTTCACCTTCATGCAGTTTATGGGGTTGACTTTCTCTCCGGAAGTTTGCCGAAGCAGCCGCAAAAGGCCTCGCACTTGTTTGCGCTGAGTTGTGACACATGGCCACGATGTTGTCCCCGTCTCAATCTCTCAATGGCTCGGGTTCCATTTTTGGTTGAAGCCCCAAAAGCGCCGGGCGCATGCTCGAGTCAGATTTCATCTGTCCGGAGGAATCCGTAGATGTCTAGTGCCTCTGTTGGGTACCCGGCCAACATGAAATGTTCACCCCTTGGGAAGGCAACTTTCCTTTTTGTGCGGTTTACCTGAAACATACAAAATGCTGAAGCCAAACATGTATTTTGTAGTGCGCATGTTTGGCGGAAAAAACACGGCGGCATTGGTGCAATTCCCGGGAGAGTAGCAGATGGTTGGAAGGGAGCTAAGGAGCTGGGGATATCCAGATTGCGGTGTGATGAGACTTTGCGGGTTTCATAAGCCAAACAGGTGAGTTTCATAGTCACAGACAGGCCTGCCGTGAACCTAGGTCAGAGCAAACGATGGCACCATATTTGGTACATGGTGGGGTTGGCTGTGCGCATGCCTCATTTCCCATAGAATTTCAGCTGGTTTTTGGGAAGCACAGTTTTTACAAGTCTTGCCAACCTGTCCCAATGCAACATGTTATTGGGCCGCGAGGAGTTGACCGTTGGAGTTTTCTAGGGATTCACGGTCGAGGACCAGTTCAAGGGTTTCGTAGTAGGGTTGGGCGCTAACTACAACCTACTTCAAATCAAAAGCGAGCAGGGGATGTGAGTTTGGCAACTTTTCTTGTTGTCCCACCCTTCCCCCTTGCCCCCCTGCCCCCTTCCCCCCTTCCCCCCACCCTTCCCCCTTGCCCCCCCTGCCCCGTCTCTCGCGGAGACGAAACGAAGACCGAGGCGCGGGAGACCGCGGAGACGAAGGCGGAGGCCAAGGACTTTGAGATCCACTCCCTGCAGGCGACAAACCATCGGTATCCGCCCATCCGCCCGCGTTCGTAGAGACGCGCGCGTGGGCTTTCACTTCGGGTTTCCGATCCTTTGGGGAGCTCCGTTGTTTTTTTCTTCTCTTTTTTCTTTTTTCAGGGGCTGTCAGGTGAGTTTGGTGGAAGATGGGTGGATTTCACTGGCTGCCGTTTGGTTGCCATGTTCTCTTGTTCCCAAAGGACACTTCAGTCCAAGGCGCAAGAGCTCAGCCAGAGAAGGGGTGCAGGGTGACATTCAAACAATGAAGGTGACCGCTCTTTAAATTGGCGTCATCCCACACCAATTTACAGTTTTGCCGAAGAACTGCCTGCAAGACAAACAAGCCTTTCTGACGAGCAGAGGATCGCTGGAGGACAGCATGGTTGGCGGAAATGCAATGGGGTGACATTCTGACGTCACTTTTGTTCGACAGGTCATGCCAGCTTCGGATTGCCACGGACACGAATCAGCGCTGAAGTGGAAGTCTGCGCCGTGCGCAACACGTGCAGATTGCCTGAATGTCTGAAGGCTATTGTGATTGCCAGACTTGGCTTGCCGCTCAATGTTTTGCTTTGGGGTTTCCTTCATTTCCCGAATTCCACCAGCAATTTGACTTTCTGTAGGGTCTAAGTCTGGCCCAGTTGCAAGCGTTGCAGATTGCCATCCGGCTGTGCATACAGATGGGGTGCTGAGGAATCATGTGGTGTAAACGGCCACATGTCTTTCGAGGGTGCCGCTTTTGAAGTGAAGCAAAAGGACAGAATGACAGGGGCTGCGAATTCTTTCGACACCATACTGTGGACGGTCGAAATCCATTCCGCACCAGATTGAAGCCATGCTTGAAGCAATTAAACGTTTGTTGGCATATACATTGGGCTTCTTTTTTTTCCTCTAATATTTCAGTTATTATTTTCCAGGGAATTTGATTTGGGGATTTTCGATTCCAGTTTCTGGGAGTTTGTTTTTTCTCCCCCCGGATGTTTTTTCCGCGGGTTTCTGAGGGGTTCTCGCATGGCGCGGCTTCGATTTCCGCGCGCCAGGCGGAGCTTCGGAAGCTGCTGGCGGCGTCGCAGGTCTGCCGCAGCTCCAGGGGGTAGGGGTCAGGGGCCGGCGGCTGTCGGGGGGGGGACCATGCAAACAAACGTGACACACACACGCGTAGACATATATATATATATATTATTTAATTATTTAATTGTTATTTATTTATTTATTTATTTATTTATTTATTCATTCATTTTTATTTATTTATTTATTTATGTATTTATTTATTTATTTATTTATTTATGTATTTATTTATATACATATATATATACATACATACATAGATCTATGTATACATATTACATACCTAAATACCTAGAGTCGCGTTGGTGTATACAGTAAGACATACATGTACAAACAAGGACGGCTGGCACGTACCCGCGGTCTATGATACCCAGCATTGGGATTTTCTTACAAAACGTGGAGTGTATCCCAACTAGTTCAAAGACGCTTCTCCTTTCTGTTCTCAAAACAGCTGGCCCCTTTCGGGCGCTGGTTGTATTCTCACTGTTCTCAACCGTGAACACTTGAAACCACGAATGATTGCTTGTCCCCAAAAGCGAAGAATGTGTTTCCCCCCAAAAAGGGCAACCCGCCAAAACGAAGCCTTTGTTTCCCCCCAAAAAAGGGGCACCCAAGCGACTCACACCTCTCTTCAAGCCCCGCTGTCCCCCAAACGTTGCCTGGAGCTCCGACCGACGACCGACGCCTCGCTTCCAACCGCGCCGCTTCGATCTTCGGACTTTGGGCTCCGAGGCTGGAGCTGCACGACGAAGCTGCCGGCGGCGGCCAAGTTCTGCTTCAAGTGCGGCCAGGCAGGGGGCAAGACGGCGAGACCCGTGCTGGCCGGAGCGTGGTTCGTCTGGGACACGGGCTTTTTTTTTTGTTGGGAGAAGACCACACACACACACACATGTGTACGTGGTCGTAGTTTTCTTTTTTCTTTTTCTCGCCAACAGGGAGGTTTGAAATCAAAAGGAGTTTCCAGCCAAAGACCTTGCATCGGCTTGGGCGATCCCGCTGCTTTGGGGCCATGGGCAATTTACTTTTGATGTCCACCTTGACAATTAATGGAGTGGTTGATTGATTGCTAGTTCTTTATGTGGTTAGCTCAGAGTCTCAGAGCAACGGAGACCTTATGGCTTGCTCAGCATTGGACATATGGGTGTGAATTTCAATAGAGCAGACATCATTTAGGGGACTCATGTTCGCCTCGCCAACTTCTTCGGAGGTGGTTCCCTACTTAGATTAATGGCCATATGGCTTTTATTGACGTCTTGTAAAGGTGGAATGATGCCAAGTTAGAAGATCAGAAGACACTGCGTCCAACTTGGCAAGGTGCAGTTATTGCGTGGCATGCTCTGTAGAGGTGCAGCTATTCCGCCATTCAAGACGGACAACAGGACTTCCTGTGAACCGCACAATGTGGAAGTTGCCACCTACAGGGTCGATTCAACCGCAGGTCATTTTCAGATAGAATAATTGATGCGCGTCTAATGAAAGGGGACTGTCACTGTTCTTGATATACCCGGGCTGGACACACATGTGTTCATCCAAAATCAAGCCATGGGTATTGCAGGTTTGCGGACAGTCCACTCATAGGTGCGCAAAACCTTTGCATCAACCGCTGAAGGTATAAGCCGAACCCATGGCCATTTAAGCCCCTCAGCCTGTTTTGTGGCTGGTTACTCAATCCATAGAGGTTCCCGCATGAACCCATGCATTTGGAGTTTGTGTATAAGTGAACCCAAGAAAAACATGAGGAGACTCCTGGAAGATAAGGTTTGATTTAGTGACTCACTTGGGTGTGTCCTTTGAGAGTTCACAGGAATACTAAATTGACACCAGCCATTTCGAGGATCCGACTTGCACGGGGACCATGTCTTGGCCCTTTCTAGGAAGAACAACTGTAGATGTTCGTCTTCTCATAGGTATGTCGGGGTGTTTTGTTCGATGGTTTTCCGTTCTTCTCCAACCAACGAATGTGTTCCTCCAAGGTTACCTTCGCAGGGAGGCAGGGATATATATATATATACGGTTGTTTTTCTTTGTTTGCTTCCGTTTCGCGGGCTGCCACACGCCTTCTTTGTCTTTACTACCAACAGAGGTTTGAGTCCACAAATGGTGCACGTCACGTTGACAATTTGGACACCCCGAAATGCTTTCCGCAGGTTGCCGGGGATGTGTGGCTGGGTGTGGTTTACATACTTGACGTTGCCCCGAAAACTAAGAAAAGAAACAAAAAGCGCAACTTGTCGGAGTTCTGCGGTGTGGTGGGTTTGCATGAGCTTCAGGGGGCAGATTCCGTACCCATTTCCATTTCGGAGGGATGGTCATGGCAACTTTGGCGGTGAGAAGTCGCCCACTTCGGCTGGGAGGCTCTGGAGTCGTAGAGATGGTTGGAAAATGCGGCTCCGAAATCGGTGCCCTCTTTCTGTTCCCCGTCATTCACCAGCTGACACTATGTGTGGTAGCAAGACCTTTTCAGATGGGCCTCAATTGGTCCACATCTTGGAAAGTAGTTGTGTCTATCACTTTTGCCGTTTTTCAAGTGAAGAAAGAGCTACCATTCCAATCATTGCCCAGTCTCAATCCTTGGTGGTTTCCAGCCATCCTCTTAGGTTTGTGGCTTTTTGGTGGTTAGTGGGGACCGGATATCACCAAAAGGACCATGGCCCCAGCTTCATTTCTCGCTCAGGCGACAACAGAAGTACTGTGAGACCAGCGCCGAGATCGAACGGGGACCCCCCGCACGTTTGGGGGGGAGTTGGTTCACTTGAGCACCAAAGGAAAAGGCACCACTCTGGGGGTCCCCCGAAATTGTAACTCATGCGTTTACAAACATGCGTATTACCTACTAAGTGGATTGAACATCCAAGCAGCTCGGGACTTTTTCAGTGAAGAATCGCTTGGCGTACTTTACCTGTGATCCGAAAAGGCAATTTTTATCAGTTGGGTATCGAAACCTGGGACTGTAAGAAATCCCAACCCGCAGCAGGGTTCTCTTTCACCTGGAGTTAGGTTTCGATGTTACAACCAATTTTTCGACATCCCATGACAAGGGTTCTATTTCAGGTTTGGGGTAGGTGGGTTTTGGCGGGTTTAAACCTTGACGGCTTTAAGCCTCAGCTCTTGGAACTGCCGAACTGCGAGCTTTCTTTGGGGACAACCGGCGCGCCAGGTCCAAGATAGACACTTTGTGGGGGTTGATCAATATTCCCTTCCTTGACCACAGGTACCTTTTCCCATGTGGTTGAAATATCATATCTTTTTGGTGGTTTTCCAACCAATGGTGATCTTTAAAAGACCTTTTGATCAACTCTATGCCTGAAAGATCCCCAGATGCGCATTCAGAATCCCCAGACAATTCACGGCAAAGAGTTGAAATGGAGGACAGTTGGCTGGGATTCCTGAATCGTAGAATCTACTTGGCGAGCCAAAATCAGGATCTCCAGTGGCGTCCTTGCATTTTTTGGGAGGTTTGGGAGGTTCATCTCAAAATCAGCCAACCCCAATAGAGAGTGTTTTATGTTTCGCATGGACATCCACTAGAGGATGTTCAGCACGCTCAGCTCTATAGGAGCCGTGTCGACACGACACCCGTGGATGTATCCCACGACCCAGACGACCCAGACTCGTTGGCTTGTGACGGTCCTTTCCCGGAGTCGTGCGATGCAAAAAGTCAAGGGTTCGGAGATATCCAGGCCTGCGCACCGTCAGCTTTTGAGCCTGCATATACGAGTGGTGTAGAGCCTGCATTTCCCCGGCAAACGCCAACTTGACTTGCAACATCAAGCCCGTTCACGGGTGGGACAAATCATATCAGCGATCAGTCAGTTGTATGGCTCAAGGAAAGAGCTGGGTTGCAAACCGCAGGGTTTCGAGTGCCTTCCTTCTACGCTTCGAGTGCGTCTTGATGGACTCCCGGGACCGCCGAAATGGAAGCCGAAGTGGGCACTCCAAAGGAGTGCCGCACTCGCCGTGCGCTGTCCAACCAGTTGCCAAGAGGCGACGTCAGGTTTCGGGTCACTCAAGTTCCTTTCTTTGGGGTAGGCCAAAGTCGATGACCGAGCACCTGAAAGGGGGGACCGGAGTAATACGGTCCGGACTCCGGACGAGTCCGAGGTCTCACATCAGTCTGCGGAGCCCTCCCGAAAAGTGAATCAAGTCGCCGCTTCGAAAGGGGTTTCCGGCCCCTGATAAG